AGTTTTTTTTTCTTTTTTCATACATATTTCCTTGACCTTGGAGTTCGATCTACCTTCGGAGGAACTTTATTCTTGATCATAAATTTAAGGACTGTGACTTTCATGTTTAGTTTGTGTATTTCTTGTAACAAAACCTTGCCTTGGAGACACACAAGACCTTCCCTTTTGTACCAACAATCTTGACTCTTTGACCTTGGTCTTGACCTACTTTATAAAACTACTGTGGTCATAACTTTTGAGCGGCTTGATGCAAGTGCTTTCATATTTCATATGCGTATTTCTTGTGAAATACCTTTCTCTGTGTATCAACAGTTTTGATATTTGTCCTTGACCTTGAAAATTTACCTACTTCGCTATAACTTTTCAAGATTTGGTGCCAGGGGTTCATTAGCAATTATTTTCCTTGTGTTGTGTATCTGTATATACTGGGTCATCGAGAGGGCAATCCGGAATGTATGTCATGGCAGAGTCAAATGTTACTTTTGCAGGTTATTCCGGAAAAGACCGGGTTTTGTGATTTAGTTTTACGTTTCAATAAAATATGGCACGTTTTTCAAGTTGTCATTTATTCTAATGAAAGATGTGAAGATTGTAACAGAGTTAGCGTTACAACACTTGAGACGAGACTTTTCTTCGGGTGATAACATTTTTGTTCTCTTGACTTTGGAATTCGTCTTGCATTTGAGAAAATATGTTTAACTAGAGCCGAGCTCGTTGCAAAGCAACGAGTAGGTCTTCCGTCCTGTTTGACTGGAAGTAACTTTCATTTTTAAAAAATTGAGTAATGAAGTCCAAAAATGGTTTAATCCTCCATAAATCTATGTTAATTATTACAAAATTAAGCCATTCTTTGGTACTTCCGGTTTAACAGGAAGTGACGACGACGGACGTAAAATTAATATTTAAGCTTCTAGTGACACATGTTACCCAAAACGGCAAAAATGTGCATTTTCTGACTACTTCCGGTTCGACCGGAAGTGACGTCGCTGGACGTAATTTGACGACCCCTTTAGATAAAGCTTGATATTTTGAACAACTTTGCTTCTTTGATGTATTACAAATTCTCAATACTTTTTGAGACATCTGGAAAAAACTTTAAGCCCCTCTAGATCCCTTAATTTAGGAGTCAGCCCTTTTTTCGACATATCATTTGAAAGATCTTGTGATTCTGCACAAATTATGTTCTATATATTTTAACAAAATATTTTTAGTTTAGAAGATAAAAAGAAAAATATGAGTAATTTTTGGTTCTTTTAAGCGTTCTAATTTTTGACCCCTATATAGCGCCATTTTGAATAGAGAAATCGAAAAACAAAAACATATGTGCACAACTCAATCCTTCTATTATGTAAAATCAGTAGAATTTCTGCTCTAGCTTTAGCTGTCTCTGAGCCTTTGTCTGGAAACGAAAGCCTATAAATTTTTCTTTAAAGGGAAATAACTCAAAACCGGAAGTAGCTTTTTGAAATTTTTGACAGCTTTCTAAAAGAGTTTATTAACGTCTATAACCTCTGAAAATTTGAGCGAAATCCGTTGAGAAATGAGCGAGATATGAGGCCCCAAAGTTGCGGTCTAGGAAGCAGAAAAAAAAAAGAATTACGATCTCGTTGCGAGCAACGAGTGGGTCTTCCGTTCGATTCTTGATGAGATGAGATCAGATTTTGATTGAGATTTTCAGTCTAAAATAATGATTTTCCATATTCTGTAAAAAGACATTGAACAATAAAGACTTCTAAAATCGACTTTTGGCCCCTCACGGCCCCTAATATTAGGGATCAGCCCTTTTTCCTTCATATCATTTTAAAGCTCTCAGGATTATGAACACTTTTTGCTAAACAACTATTCAGAGATTCTTTTTCGTTTTCGAGTTATTCGGAAAAGACATATTAAGGGACCAGCCCTTCAACTCCCTAATGGGGACGTTTCGCGAAAAATGAAAGGTTGCATATTGTTCAGAACATGATTTTGAACATCTTTTGTTCAATATTACTTATCAAAATTCTTCTCATTTTCGAGATACATAGCGTCAAAGATTTAGCCTTCTGGCCCCTTGTGGCCCCTAATTATGTAATGTACGACTTTTAAATTCATAATATACAGTTGTAGATTGTTGAAATAAACATTTTTGCTTCAGTAATGTATAACAAATTATTGACTGTTAAAGATTTATCGAAAAAAGACTTTTAGCCCTTTTTGGCCCCTAATTTGAGTGCCCAGCCCCTTTTCCTGGATTTCATCTTGAAGCTCTTAGGATTTTGAGCACCTTTTGTTCAACAATTATTCAGAGATTCCTTTTCATTTTCGAGTTATTCGCAAAAGAAATATTTAGGGGCCAACCCTTCAACTCCCTAATGGGGACTTTTAGCGAAAAATGAAAGGTTGCATATTGTTCAGAACATGATTTTGAACATCTTTTGTTCAATATTACTTGTCAAAATATTTCTCACTTTCGAGATAGAAAGCGTCAAAGATTTAGCATTCTGGCCCCTTTTGGCCCCTTATTATGCACCATAAGACATTCAAATCATAATATACAGTGGTAGATTGTTGAGATAAACATTTTTGCTTCAGTAATGTATAACAAAATATTGACTGTTAAAGAGTTATCGAAAAAAGACTTTAAGCCCTTTTTGGCCCCTAATTTGAGTGCCCAGTCCCTTTTTCTTGAATTCATCTTGAAGCTCTTAAGATTTTGAACACTTTTTGTTCAACAACTATTCAGAGATTCTTTTTCGTTTTCGAGTTATTAACAAAAGAAATATTTAGGGGCCAACCCTTCAACTCCCTAATGGGGACTTTTAGCGAAAAATGAAAGGTTGCATATTGTTCAGAACATGATTTTGAACATCTTTTGTTCAATATTACTTGTCAAAATATTTCTCACTTTCGAGATAGAAAGCGTCAAAGATTTAGCATTCTGGCCCCTTTTGGCCCCTTATCATGTAATATACGACATTATAATCATAATATACAGTGATAGATTGTTGAGATAAACATTTTTGCTTCAGTAATGTATAACAAAATATTGACTGTTAAAGAGTTATCAAAAAAAGACTTTAAGCCCCTTTTGGCCCCTAATTTGAGTGCCCAGTCCCTTTTTCTTGATTTCATCTTGAAGCTCTTAAGATTTTGAACACTTTCTGTTCAACAACTATTCAGAGATTCTTTTTCGTTTTCGAGTTATTTGCAAAAGAAATATTTAGGGGCCAACCCTTCAACTCCCTAATGGGGACTTTTAGCGAAAAGTGAAACGTTGCATATTGTTCAGAACATGATTTTGAACATCTTTTGTTCAATATTACTTGTCAAAATATTTCTCACTTTCGAGATAGAAAGCGTCAAAGATTTAGCATTCTGGCCCCTTTTGGCCCATAATCATGTATCATACGACATGAAAATCATAATATATAGTTGTAAAATGTTGTGATATTCATTTTTGCTTCAGTAATGTATAACAAAATATTGACTGTTAAAGAGTTTTCGAAAAAAAACTTTTGACCCTTTTTGGCCTCTAATGTGATGAGTCAGCACTTTTTTCTTGATATCATTTTAAAGATCTTGTCATTCTGCACAAATTTTTTTCATTATGTTTTAACAAAATAATAATACTTTAAAAGATATGATGTAAAATGTCTTAAAAATCAGTCATGATTCGTGACCTAAATTTTGACCTGTACCGAGCTTCCATACTAGACACTTTCGGAAAATATCCTTACCCAGGTGCAACATGGCAACATGTCCTCTATCATCACTGAAAATTTCAGCTTTCTAGCTTAAGCCGTTTTTGAGTTCCATCACAGACAAGGAGGTCCTCTAAATTTCGATCAAAGGGCGATAACTTCCGACCGGAAGTGAAATTCAGGAAAATAACTTGCCGGAATTAACTTCAGATGACAATGCATCGACCTTGAAAATTTGAAGAAAATCGAACGAGCCATCTCCGAGAAATCGCCTGCACAAATTTTGTAAGAAGAAAAAAGAAAAAAAAAGAAAAAAGGTAAAAAAGAAACCGAAGAATAATAGAAGGGTCTTCCGCTGAAGACGGAAGACCCTAATAATAAAAGTGAAAAAGAAACAATAGAATAATAGAAGGGTCTTCCGTTGGAGACGGAAGACCCTAATTATCTTTACCAACAGAATCAGTAGAAGGTCTTCCGTTGGAAACGGAAGACCTTAACGAAATCCGTTGAGAAATGAGCGAGATATGAGGCCTCAAAGTTGCGGTCTAGGAAGCAGAAGAAAAAAAAGAATAATAATCTTTACCAACAGAATCAGTAGAAGGTCTTCCGTTGGAAACGGAAGACCTTAATTATCTTTGCCATAAGCTACCATATGTAGGGATCTTTGTCTCACAAATACATCTTTTATCTTTTTAAAGGGGGGAATTCAAATGAAAATGATTAAATTCTAATAAAATCCCCAATCGTAAAGAATACATCTATAAACTAAAACTATGGGAAAAACTAGTTCTCATTGTTCAAAAGTTATGGCCAAGGTTAAAAATTCTGAAAAGTGAGTCAAATTCTAAGGTCAAGGTCAAAAATATTTTACCAGTGGAAAGGTCTTGCCTCAATGAATACAGACGTGAAGCATGAACGCCCTTGCACCAATTATTCAAGAGATGTGGTCAAGGTGAAAGTTTAGTTTTTTTTTTTCTTTTGGCAAAAGTGGAGTCCAAGGTCGAGAGGTCAAGTATGTTGGATCTTGTCACAAAGAATATACTTGTGAAATATGAAAGTCATAGCTCCAGCCAATCAAGTTAATTTTTGTGGACAAACAAACAAACTGACAGAAGGACGGGGCAAAAACTATATACTACATACTATACCCCTGAATCTTCGATTACGGGGGCATAAAAAATATATAAAATGCAAACTCCATAAATCCGGAAAAGTCGTTGTTGGTTCTCAGTTTATATTAACCTTTGAAGTTCCTACTTGCTTTTCTCGAATAATTACAAAAATCACGTTAAACGATTTCATTGATTCCTATAGAAGTAGGGCTGGGTATTGGCCCGAGATTTCGTATTGCGATATATTGCGATATTTATAACTGTATTGCGATATGTATTGCAATATTTTTAATGTAATTTAAATGGCATTTTCTTACTATATTTACTTAAATTTACATGCAGAATGTACATAACTATGATAAATAACCCACGCATAAAAAAAATCTTGTTGATTTCATTTAAATTATGCTGAAATGTTCCCACAAAACAACTTCTGTCTTACTGTTTGGCTTAATAACAAACTTTCATACATTCATTTCTATATTTAATCACAAAATTCCTTAATCTAAGCATATTGCCAATATATCGATATTACAAAATCGTATTGCGATACAATATTTTTCGTCATTGTATTGCAATATATTGAAATATCGATATTATTGCCCAGCCCTATATAGAAGTGATCATTTATTAAGCTTAAACATATATTTTTAAAATTTGAGATATCATACAAAACATAATGGATGACGAAAAAAGAAAGATGAAACAGTTATTGAAAGAGAAAATGTAAGTAACGTTTCATGAAATCATAACTGCATGGTGCACGGTTTCAGGACGGCGTATTTTGTGTATTGCGCATTTTTCTATGTCTGTTTAATTACTCTCATTAAATGGAAACAAATAATTGTTAAAATTATCATTTTTTGACAAGATATTGCATTTCTGTATAAAAAAGACACACGTTTTTAGCTAACTATCTTCAATTCTTGGGGTGACTCGGTTCAAACATAATTTTTTTTCATTAACCTTCCCAATATCCTACAAGTCTCTTGTAAGATCTTGCTTTATAAAATAATATTGAATAATTCCCCTTTAGTTGTCTGCCAATTGCATTTGCCATATAAAACATGTAGTAAGGCCTAAAAAAAAAATATGATTGTTTCCTGTAACCCGACCGACCCATTCAAATTATCCCCGGGTGGATTTTTTTTTCTGACAAATGGCAAAACTTCGTTTGATCAATCAGCTGATTCCATTTATTAACTTTTAAAAAATAGCTTGTAGCTTAATTTGAGACATAAAATATGTCAATTTAGTGTACATTTACCTTAAATATAAAGAGTAATCATTATTGTAACAACAGTTTCCCCCTACAACTTTCTGAAGTTCGTTTTCTGCCGCTTGGCAGCCATTTTGGATGCCATATTGGGTGTCCACTGTAAATATAACACCTGGTATTTTCGGTCCATTCAAAGCAAAACAAAAACAAAAAAAAAAAAAAAAAAAAAAAAAAAAAAAAAAAAGAATTTCCGAGCTACCAACCCTTGATTTTTTGGGAATGTTACAGGAAACAAACTTTTTTTTTTTTAAGCCTAAACCAAAATGTCCTCCCTACTTAACAATGAAAGTGATAATTTCTAACTACATGTATGTAAAGTGTAGAAGCATCCCAGGATTGCACAAAAGGTCTAGAGAGGTCAGCCAGTTTTTCTCTCTCTGGACTTTCCATGCTTTTCCAAGAAGCCTCATTTGCCCTATTGGAGGGTGGGGTCTGATAGTTTACATTACATTTTATTTTTTATTCAACATCTTCAAAATTGTTTGACAATGACAAATGGTGTCCAGTCAACTCGTACACAAACCGTCTCGTACACAAACCGAGTCGTACACAAAAAGTCAACTCGTACACAAATCAGAAGTCAGCTCGTACACAAATCAGAAGTCAACTCGTACACAACGTTTTATTTACAATAGTTTGGAATCATCTTTATATAAATAATGTATAATCTAGAAAAATGAAATAAGGACAAGGAGAAGTGTTAAATTTTTAGATTTTTTCAGGAATACTTCAGTGGTTTCATAACATTTGAAATCGACCGTGGCTTCTCTTATTGGGAATACATGTGTATAAACAATTATTGTTAAACTAACACAAGCGCGGCGGTTTCTTTGATTTGCGACAAACGCTAATTACAAAATGCTCCTAATTTGGTCCCTTATTCTTCATTTCTTTATCTTCCCCATGGTGTGAGAGAAGTGTTTATCCTGCTGTACAACTGTCTATAGTAAAAAAAAAAAACTTTATTTTTTTAATTTGATAAGTTTTTTTTTTTAAATTGTATGCAATGATATACCATAGTGGCATAAAAATCTTACGATGTATTTCGATCGTATTTACTATCTACATTGAATAACGGTATACGTTATGGTGCCGTAAAATTTCTAAATTTCTTACCTAAATTATTTCAAGATATATATATTTATATCCACACATTACTTGCATAAAAGCTGCAGACTAATTCTAAAATGTGAAATTCACATATAAAATTCACATATTATCTTGTGGTGATGTTTAAATCAAATTCAATTATATTGAATCGATCTGATTATGTTGTTTAACAAGATATTTTAATTTATAATTAAATTTACAGAATAAAAAAAATCGGCACTTCTCATTTATGTATCAAATAAGTATATATTTAAACGAAAAATGTGAAGGAGTTGACGCCCAAGATTTACGCAACAAAAAACCTTATAGCCAAATAAGAAAAAAAACCAATCTGCGCATAAGATATAGGTAAAATCAGCGGCATAAAAAGATTAACATGTACAAATAAAACCCTTTGTGTACGAGTTGACTCCTCAATTTTTTAACACTGAGGAAAACTATACATTAAATCACATAGGGAACTATGTACAAATGACATTAGTTTGTGTACGAGTTGACTTTTGATTTGTGTACGAGTTGACTTTTGATTTGTGTACGATTTGACTTTTTGTGTACGACTCGGTTTGTGTACGAGTTGACTGTAAACCTGACAAATACATGTAATTATGTTATTCCATATGAGGTTCTTGTAATTATAGGGAAGGAAAGGATGGCGGATTAGATTGGATGCGCAAAGAAAATAAACCGGACGGTAATGATTATCTACTGGGCAAACGAGTGGACAGGCACATTGAGGAAGCCGTGGAAGTCGTCAAAGATGGTATTTATACCAGAATGGCATTCTTTGCATTTGAATACTTGCATACATGTAAATTCAGTTGATATTTGAATTACTATACAAAATGGAAAGCTTTGCAGAGGGGGTTGGAAACATCTATCAGCTGTGAACAATGTGCTGTTTAATACACAGCAAGATCATTGTAAATCTTTGAAGACACTATAAGAAGTATTTAATAAATTGCTGTACATTAGGTGAACCAAGCATCAAATTTGAGGATCTAGTCCTTATTATTTTGATTTTCTAATATACCATCGGTCAAACCAATTCTTCTAATTAAATTTTTTCTTTAGTAATAATTGTTATTTTTTGAAGTCGCAAAATACTTGTAACATTGTGTGTTAGAAAACATATTATCTGCTATGCAAATCTTTGAAAACATTGTACTTTCAGCATACTCCCTATTTCAGATCATTAACAACGTTACTGAAAAATCATTATTTTCGTGGGGTCAATTTTTCAAGGTTTGAGGAAAAAATTTTGGTTATTGGGTATTTGATTTCATGGTTAGAAAATGTTTCGTAGTAATTTATTTGAAATTTTAAATTTTGTGTTGGTCATAAGTTTGTGGGTCTCGCCATACCTGGAAAACAATGAAAATTACACCCCCACCCCCCCAAAAAATCAGGCATAATTGAGACATGTTTGAAGTTTCCTATGCTTTGCCACAAAAGAGCAGCATTTAGTTAGATTACCTCGATGTTATCATAATATTTATTATTATGTTTGGTTGTTTTAGAACTTAATGAAAGAATACTTTCCTTGTGAAATGCCTTAGTTTAGATAAATCAATTTTTATGTCCCCCTTCGAAGAAGGGAGGGTATATTGCTTTGCTGCTGTCTGTCGGTCCATTTAGTTTCCGTTCAATTTCTTCACTACCGTTGCACATACTGAAATGAAATTTGGTATACAGTTCTGTTTTGATTACGATCGCACCATTTTTGACAGAGTTATGCCCCTTGGACTTAGAAAATTTTTAAATTTTTGCAGTTTCCGTTCATTTTCTTTGCAGAGGTTGCACATATTGAAATGAAATTTGATGTACAGATTTATCAGCTTCATATCTAGGTCAGATTCCATTTTGGATACAATCGCACCATTTTTGTCAGAGTTATTCCCCTTGGACTTAGAAAAATTCCAAGTATTTGCAGTTTCCATTCATTTTCTTTGCAGAGGTTGCACATAGTGAAATGAAATTTGGTATACAGATTTATCAGCTGAATATCTAGATCAAGTTCTGTTTTGGGTACGATCGCACCATTTTTGATAGAGTAATGCCCCTTGGACTTGGAGAAATTCCAGTTTTGGGGAGGGGGGCATAAGTGTTTTACAAACATCTCTTGTTACTTTTAAAATGTAAATCCATTGCAAACTTTAATTGAAAATTACAAGTCACACATGTTCATTCTTGAAAGCAATTATTAAAACTTTGTAAGACTGTGCCATTTTCTTAATTTCAAGATGACATTGCACTGTTCAATGAGAGAATCAAAGCCAACATTCAGCTTGATATGCAGAACAAAGCAAGAGAAGACCCACTATTTGCTATAAGGTATTTTTAATGTTGATTTTGACTTTGCAATGATCAGTTACTTTATATTAAAGATTAGAATAAGCTTTTTTTTGCATTTTGTATTTGTTGCCAAACAGGCTAGAAAATAATAATTGGCATAATTTTGAGATTTTGTCTTTGGATTAAGAGTGCTTAACAGCCAGTTTTGAATTATGTTTGCTACATTCCTAATGAATGATTCAAATTAATATTATGTTTGTTCATTATACAGAAAAAGGGAAGAAGATGTGAAAAAGAGACTTCTTGAAAATCCAGTTAGAATGAAACAGTTACAGAAAAATGTGAGTGGTTTAGTTTCGATTTATTAAAATGTAACCACTACCCTATGAAATATATATATCTGTTTCAATTTTGCTGAATTTTAAAAAAAATCTGATTTAGCTGGAAAAGCAGAAAAAGAAAGCAAAAAAGAAGCACAAAAAGCAGAAAGGATCAGATGATTCAGATGATGATCTGATGAAGAAATATTTAAACATCTTGAATAAAAAGAAAGGGAAAACAGAGGATGATGATGATGATGATAATCTGTCAAACAAAGGGAAGCACAGAGGTGACAAAAACAAAGAAAGGCAGCAGGGAAGATCAGATCACAGAGGCAGAGAGGATTCATATCATGACAGGTCATCAAAATCCAGGCCGGAGAAAAGGTATCAGGATAGGGGTAGGGAGGATCTGGAAGATGACAGAGGAAATTCTAGAAGTTTTAGAAACTCAAGGGACAATTCCAGTGACCAGTATTCTAGAGACAGATCCCATAACTCACAAGGTAATAGATATAGGGATTCATCTCCTCAGCACAGAAATTCCTCGGGTAGATCAAGGAGAAGATCAGAAGAGCGGGATAGGAAGAAAACTCAGGATAGGAGACATGATCAGCAAAGACGTAGAGAAAGACATGATTCATCAGGAAGTGAATCTGAGGAAGTTCAAAGAAGAGGAAGGAGAAAAGACGGCTACAATAGACGTCCTGTGTCTAATGAGAGAGGTAGTGGGAAAAACAGGCCAGGAGTTGGAAAGAAAAGGGAAGAGTCGTCAGGTTCTGAATCGGATGACAGGTCTGGTGGGAAATACAGACAAAAAGGAGAGTCAACGAGAACTAGTAAATCAAAAAGACATGACTCTTCTGACAGTGAATCAGATTCTGAGGAGAGGAGTAGAGAGAAGAGGAGACCTACATACAGACAAAACCAACAGGCTTCGCCTCATAAAGACGACAATCATCCTACACAGAAGATAAAGACACAGAGCAGCAAAAGGTCAGAAAGTTCAAGTTCTGACAGTGACAGTGAACCAGAACGAAGGCCTGTCAAACAGTATGGTTTAATTGTAAGTTTAATGCATTTATTATGTCTGAGTTTATTTACTGTCTATCATACAGATGTATAACATATGAATTTTTCTAATTTGAAATTTCTTATTTTGATAAGCTTCTGACTATTTGAGCGAAATAAGTTTGAAACAACCTATAAAACAATACATGTATTGATGTATCCTTAATTTGATTTTCTTTTTTTCACACAGAAACTGAAAAACACTGATTCATCTCAGACAAAAGCTGTCTCTTATTCTCCAGAACATAGAAAAAGAGAAGAGAGAAAGAAATCTAGGTCACCAGATCGTAGGAGAGATGACAAATATTCAAGAACAAGCAGAAGGTCAAGGTCACCAAGGCAGCGTTCTAAATCTCCAAAACCAAGGTCAGGGGTTAGGTCACACAAGGACAGGAGTAGATCGCCAGTGAGAAGGTTAGATTTACCTCATAATTTCATACTAATCATATATGATGTAACACTGGTACACATTTTTTGAAAACATTTTACCCACCTGACTTTAAAAAAATATTTTTGATGAAAATATTTAGCATTAACCTTTAAAATACATGTATATTCCAAAATAGGAAACTAACAGAAGATGAAAAGAAGAAGAAGTTGGAGGAAATGATGCAGAATGCACAATGGAGGGAGGAGCAAAGGAAGTCTAATGTAAAGCGCTACACTGAGGAGGACAGAAAGGAAGAGGAGGCCCTTAGGAGCAAAGAGGAGCCTGAATTCCTCAAGTAGGACACAAGATTATACAATCCTCATAAATCTTAGATAACTAGAATATAAAAGCACAGCAAGAAACAATTTAAATCATTATTCTTACAGAGTGAAATAGATTATATAATTTTTTTGTTGGTCAGAATTTTTAAGCATGGCTCATTAAACTAAATATTCCAATGAATTTCAATAAAGCAATTCATTTTTTCTTTTTTCTTTTTAAAGTCCTATGATGTCAGGCCATGCAGATAAGAGTTCTGTTGAAGATAGACTGAAGAGGAACAGAAACAAACTTCAGAGAGGGACTGGGCATATGGACAAGGGGTTTCTCAATAAGTGACAAGCTGGATAAAGAAGGAGTGGGCATATGGACAGGGGATTTCTCAATAAATGACAAGCTGGATAAATAGACTTGAGCCATGTCTAAGTTTTATTAGACTCTCATTTGTCACAAAAATGAAAATTCATGCTGGTCAATGAATTTCATTCACAGAAAAAAATATAGATTAAAAAAAATATACCTGTATCTCAAATATTTAATTTGTAATAAAGTTTGCACTAAAATGATCATGATTTATCATCAGTTAAGTTATTGGTTTAAAATTTTGAACCCTTTCTTGAGTTTCCTCACTTTTTTTGTAAAAATTGCAAATATGGAACTGAACAGTTTAAATTCTTATTCATGAATCTTGATCTATACCAGATGTAGATTTTAAATGAGGAAAGAACTTTCTTTGATTCATGTAATGACATGTATACCATGCTCGATATAAAAAAGAAGTCTGTGAGTCAATGGTCCAACACTAGCAGATGCACGGATAAATAGGAAGTTGACTTCAGATTCATACAAAAATGAATCCCACCATATGGCACACCTCACAAAGAATGAACTAAAATTTCAAGCATCTGCATTCTGCAATGAGTAGTTGCTGAGAAAACTGCAACAAAAATTTGTTATGATACATACAGACAGACGGATAAACAAGAAGTTGACATCAGATTTGAACAAAAATGATTCCCACTATAAGACATGTCTCAACAAAGAATGTGCCAAAATTTCAAGCATCTGTGATGAGTAGTTGGTTAGAAAACTGTAACAAAAAATTGTTATGTATGGTACAGACAGATGCATGGATAAACAGGAAGTTGACATCAGATTTGAACAAAAATGAATCCAACCATTTGACATGCCTCAGCAAAGAATGTGCTAAAATCTTATGCATCTGCAACGAGTAGTTGTAGAGAAAATTGAGACAAATATTTGTTATGTATTGTATGGACAGATAAACAGGAAGTTGACATCAGATTTGAACAAAAATGAATCCCACCATATGGCAAGCCTCAGCAAAGAACGTGCTAAATTTCAAGCTTTTGCGATGAGTAGTTGCAGAGAAAACTGCGAAAAAATTTGTTACGGACAGTCAGACAGACACAAAAGGGTAAAATAGTATACCTCCTCTCCTTTGGATTGGGGGTTTACTAAATATTGAGATGGCCATGGTCGATGTCATACTGTAGCACAGGCATCTGACGTTACTTACTGTAAATCACTTTTTATTCGCAAGAACTTTATTTTTGCGTAATTACGCGAGACAGTATGCTTGCGAAAATTAAATTCTCGCGCATAATAGTATTCCTTAAGATTATATAGAGCAATAACCAGAATTCGTGAAAATTTTGTCTAGCTAATCAAGAGTCAATGACTATCTTGCGAAAATAAGGTGTTGCGAAAAATTAAGTGATCTACAGCATTTTTCTTTTATTAAATAAGAATATGCCCCCTACCTATTAATTCAATAGATAGAGAGTATATTTTTTTTTATTCAAAAGAAAAATAAGTAACATCAGGTGCCTGTGTACTGTAGATATAAGTCCTTTATGACTATAATATGAGGCCTAAATGTAACCAACAAGAAGCATTGATGAGTATGAAGATACAAGAGAAGAAAAAAATGATGAAGTGAATACACACACAAAAAAAGGATTGAACATATTTATTTCAAATGAAAAGAGGATTTCAATTTTCCGATCCTCTCTTTCCAGGCAGAATCTTCACTTGATTTTTCTAATTTACATATCAATGATTCACAAGCCTTCTTCTCTTTTCCACTTAGGAACTGAAAAGACAGGACAAATCTCTTAGCTGAACACAAACTTTCTAGAATCTCGGTCACTTTTTCACCATCTTGATCTTTGTATTCTGAATCAAGTGCTATCAAAAAATCTCCTAGAAGATTAATGTCTGTTTTAAAAATATGTGCCAACTGAGCTCCACCCATTTCTAACAGGAAGTTATACTGATCAGATGTTGACTTGTGGTATCGCCTCCAATCTCGTGTAAACTCCTGACTGTCTTTTGGTAGATTGGAACTCTGGAATAGAAAATTAATAGTTAACTTTTTTTTATGTCCATGTTCCTTTCTTTAAAGTGCCGATAGTAGAGGGGGATGGGTTGGGGGATGATATGATGTGTCATGTAATGTAATTCTGAACTTGACTAATCTGTAGTACATGTATTGAAATAAACAAAAATGCTGAAATAAAAAGGAATAAAATCCTGAATAGTGAATACAAATGAAAATGAGTAGTTTCTAAAGTAATTTAATTGTTTCCTCAAACCCAGCCTGATACAGATCTCTACACAAAGCTAATTTTGATTGTTTATTTGTGATTGACTCCTTTATTGTTGGAAAAAAGATCAGATAGTTTCCTAATACAAGCAAAAATATAATGAACAAAAGCTCTACCCTTTTACCATACATGAAGTAATAGACCTTTTTAATGTCAGATGCGTGGGAACTTTGTGGGTTTGCTTTACTGTTTTCTGCATGAGCATTCCATTTGACATCAAATGTAACATTTTGCAGAGTGTCACCCTTCTCTAATGGCTTTATATGAGAAGCAAGAACAATATCTCTGTGAAAAGAAAATAAGCATTTAAGTTATAACAGTAGCCGTGCAACAGTCAGATTTGTAGCTTTAAGGGTTCAATTAACTAGTTTTTGTCTTTGTAAAGTTTTTTCATTGTCAAAAGCCATAGATTTTTATTAGCTTTTGCATTTTGTCAGAGTGGTGTATATTTAAATTTGAACACATTATTCATATGACTTCATTTAAATTAGCTTTACATCTGGACTGATTAGTAAAATTTTCAGCACATTTTCACATGATGTGGACAAATGCGAATATTGTGTATCCATGAAAAGAAGTTTAATTTTTTCTGGTAAAATATCTTGAAAATGTATTAAAAATTAACATACTTGTAAACCTTATCAACAACATGTGAACGGTATATTATATGTACATATCATTAGTGACTTTCTTACCTAAATTCTTCATAAGATTCAACTTTTTGATGGACTGCTCTGAATTTTGCATCATTTTCTCTCCAGTACCGTTGATCTTGTTCCACCGCCATCGCCAGCTCTTTTTCAAGCTTGTTGAAGTCCATAGTATCATCATCATGACTCTTTTTATTCTCCATTTAAACAATATCTGAGGAAATTCTGGTTTGCGTTCTCTTTGTATGGTTGGTTGAAAATCTGAATAATTTGAATAAAATGGTTTATTTGGATTTTCAGCGTGAAACACACAAAATAATATAACAAGGAAGTGTATAATATCAATAAAATTCATTAGGGATGTTTCTATAACAAAATATTTACCTTTTTTTGCGATGATTCCGATCCGACTTGCCAACATGTAAACACACTCGGCACACCTCCGCCGATTCGTACCTCATCTTGATGTAGTTCACGGAATCAGCCGAGGTTTGCCGAATGCATGTAAACACTTGCTACTCTACGTCACGCAGACGCTTGGGTTCCCGTTGAATTTCATACTGTAGTTAGGACATTTCGACACCATATTTTCAAAACTAAACATGATTCAAAATCATGAATAACACTAACAAAGCTTAAAAACAGCTGGTAATTGCTTTTTTGAATTTAAATTTAATTTTAGAGAGAAGGGTTAATTAATGTATCGCTCTGAATGCGATCCCATTTGCGTCGCGCAGTGGAAACAAAACTTATAGGGGAAATATTTTCCCCTGTGTTTAAAAGGCTCATATTTTTCTGCCCCCGCAATCGCAGATTCAGTGGTATATAGCATAATATAGTATATCGTCCAGTCTGTCCATCTGTCTATCTGTTTGTCTGTTTATCTATTTGTCCGCAAAAAACTTTAACCTTGCCCATAACTTTTGACTAAATGGGGCTATATAATAATGGATTTCATATTTCACGTACAAGACAGTGTATTTCTTGTGACAAGACCTTTCTTTGGGTACCACTAAATTTGACTTCTTGACCTTCACCTTAGAGTTTGACACACTTTCACAAAAAGAAATACCAAAGTTTAATATTAGTCATAACTTTTGAACAGTTAATACCAGGGCTTTCAAATTCCATAGGTTTATTCCATGTGACAAGACCTTCCTTTACGATACCAAGAAATTTCGACCTTTTGACCTTGACGTTTGACTTTCATTGGAGAAACTGCCATAGAGGAACATCAGTGTTTCATTAAACACATCTTGCTTTTTCAGGTTACTCTAATTTCTAAAATGTGCAAATCACCGACTCTTTCCCTGAACTGAAATTTTGATTACTTTAACCAGCGGATACCTGTAGTATCATGAGGGACAACCCTCCTGTTTTCCAAAGGGAACTTTTTATGTAAATTCAGTATGGAAATTTACAGACTTGAGTAACCGCCCCCTCACACGCCTTTTTGTTCAAATTCCCGCACATAATTTAATGCAAATTCTTTCTAACTGATATATCATGACCCCCCCCCCTCCCCCCTCGCCAAATCCATCACTCGCACGAAAATGATATTAAATTTATTTTTCATCGGTTTCTTGCCCCCCCCCCCCCCCCCACCGGTAACAATGCAATTAATGTGCCTGAAATGCTTTAAATAATATATTATGGACAATCCCTGCATGAATTGAACATTACCATTTCAGACCCGTTTGGGCCAGGGTTTTGTTTAAATCAATGATGTGTTGGGGGGGGGGGGGGCGGGGGCGGGGGGCGCCCGTTTTCCAAATGACTAAAATTACTGTATTCTATTAAAAATGAATTATTCACAAATGAAGTGAATGGGAGTGGGCAGCATGCAAAAAAAAATTTTTTAGCCCTCTCCGTAAAATTACTTGAACCAGACTGAAGGAATTTGGTGATGGCAATCACAGGAGGGTTCTGATTTCTTGTGTAAGTTGAATCATCCTCTCCACGTCCATGATTTGAAAAGTCTTTAAAAAATTAAAATTAGTTCGATCTTTCTAATACAAGGAATAGGGATAAAACAAAGTGACATTTACTTTATTCACAAAAATGAATACATAAAGGTGTTTGAAACAGTAAGATTTTATTTACAAATGATTAAATTTTTCCTTCTGAGGAAAGTTGTATAGTGATTGCAACGACAAGCTAGTACAACCTAGCAATCAGAGCATTAACACAGTCTGGGTTTAGCAGATTTGGTCAGTCTTAGTCGTTCAGTAGGCTCCGTATTATGCTTCTCCTCGGCTTCTTTGACTTCCGGTCTCTGTAGTCGTCTGTTACCCTGCTTCCGGATAAGTCCATGCAGCAGAATGTTTTCCCGACACACTCGATTTAAGTGGTCTTTATTGGTCAAGTTCTCTTTGTACATTTCATCGTAGTTCTTTCCCCTGTATCTGAAAAAAATATCAAGGTTACGAGACCGTACACAGAAAAATAATTTAAAAATCTTTTTTACTGTAGACATTAAGGTTCATAAACCCTCTGCTCACGTTCCCAAAAGAAATGTATTTTATGAGTAAAATACAAACAGTTATAGCATATTATAGCTTGCGGGGCAAAATTGGACAAAAAAAAGACACTTCAACTAGACAAAATCTAGAAACAGATAAAGGAATAATAGACATTAGTGTCATTAAGAGTTATCTCTCTTATCAAAGTATCAATGAACCTTAAATTTCACTGAAAGTTTTGGAGTCACTCTGTTCATATTCTTGTTTAGTGTTGACATTATGAATGATTCTATCGGCGGCGGTGATTCCTTCGAAATCCACTAGTCCATTTGTACGACATAATTATTTACCCTTCTAGTTCCTGTATCAGCTTCACATTTTCGTTGTTGGCTTTATGAAGCTGATTCTGAAGTGATTTGATTTCCTTTTCCTTCTCATCCAATAGCTTCTTCAGATACACCGCCTGCAGATTAGTCGCCGCTGACACCTGCTTCTCCCCCTGGTTTGCTTTCGTTTTTTCGAATGTAAAATCTTTGCACCTGAAAAGAATGTCGCAGGAAAAAGATTTGATGTTCTATAAGTTCACCATGATTGAAGTGAAAATAACAGTTTTTGGGATTTAACAATGATTTAGTACATATTTTACCTCTCAGATACTGGTTTCAGTGCATTTGGACATGTCCAAATAGTTTTACTGCTTGATTTGAATGGTTTTGATATGACTGGTTTGTCCAGAATAGCAGCCTGAAACAAAACGGCATGAAATATCATTGTTTTAGTTGGCTGATGTATAGGGTGAATCGAAGATAACTTACAGTGGTCGATCCCAAAAAATCCACAAACAAAACAAACTGACCCCTGAAAATTCCAGAGATGGGATCAGGTGCCAAGGAGGAGTAAGCATCCCCTGTCGACCGATCACACCCGCCGTAATCCCTTTGTATTGACCAAAAAAGACTGAACATCATGGTCAAATTCAGTATAAAAACAAAGGCCTAACAATCGAAAAAGAAGCCAAAATAAGACTCAAGACAATGATAGGTTATATTTGTTTGCTAGTAAGGTCATCATAACCGTCAAAGAATATCTACGAAATGCTGACTTTCACCGAGGTTGTTGAAATCCAAGATTGAAAAGAGCTGGAAGCTTTAAAATATGGACTGAAATATAATGATACAATTGCTACCAATATGTCTCATTTGGTCAAAATTCAGACAGGCATGACGACTTACCACAGAATCTTCATCTTTTTCAGATGAATCGTTTTTGTCATCGTTATTCATCGATGATCTCTGAAAATAGACAAGTTAAATACTTTTTGGTTGTACATGTATAAAGACGTGTTCTATTTTGAAAATTTTAGCGTTACCTGTCAAAGGTTGGGAAAACCACGAAACTCACCATCAGCTGTGTGGCCTTTACTAAATTTTCGACATCTATCGTTCTCCTGGTAGTGGGTTTCAGACCAAGAAACTGTGAATAAAAGAGTTGAATGGACTTTTACTGAATGATTCGGCATTTACATATGTTAGGAGTTATCAATTCACACTGATACGTCTAAGAAAATATTAATATGTAGCGAGGTTTAAAAAAATATGAATGAATAAAATGTATTTACTTCGTAAGTCTTGCCTTTAAAAAAAAAAAGTAAAACTGTACTACTTACAAACACGGCACCCCTGGTTTTTGCCCAGCGGGAGGGGAGAGTTTGTTGAGATTTGACTGGACCCACCCAACTTCTCTTCTGACGGTCAAACGTGCATTTGTGAAGTGGCTGTAAATACACATTATTCAGAAATATTGATTTGTCGTTTTCATTTGTGACCCCATTGAGCCTTGCCTTTCAGAATATTCGGCACACTTGAAATTGAAAGATTAAGATTTTGTAAAATTTATTATCAGTTGAAGTTCTTTTGAAAGTTGTGGCTTATCTTCAATTCAAATATGGCGAGATTGTTAATCCCTGCATTATCACTAGGTCTAGTCAATTCATTATATCGTGAAAAAAAAATATATATGCAAAATATATAGACTCTGTTAGGGACACGGGACACAGGGTATGAACTCCCTCCCCTTTTCCCATTGATTTTCTTTTGAAATCATTTGAAATCAGGGGTCAAGACATTTCCCCCCTTTTCCCTGTATTTCATCATAATCTTATTTAGGACCGATACATGAAAAAGAGATTTAATTAAAATCGAGCTAAATTAAAAACAGCCTATAGAGACAAATGTCATTAATGGCAATATTACGATTACGCTTTATGAATATAAGTAAAAATGAAAAGGGGGAGAAGTGTATCTATTTCTGATAATGGTAACAAGGGGGGGGGTGTTGTCACAGGCACTATTTTCGTTTACATGGCATTCCCTTCTCATTTTATCTCATAAGTAGGGGGTGCCTTGTGTAAGTGGCTGTGGTTCATACCCGTTGCACCCAGTGCCTGTTATTGGAGAAAGAAATACTGCAAAATTGAAAAATCCTTAACCATTGAAAATCCACGGTCGTTCTCGCTTTTTTTATGAGGGATATGTACATGTAAGACGAGACCGGCTATGGTTATCTACCTGCATATACATGTTTGTATGTATGTACATTCTAAAGACTTGCGTGATTACAGAATTATTTTCCTTCTTTGTTATGAAGTATCTGATTCTCAAAGTTAAATATTATTTTTAAACCTGAAAAATTCTTTCAACTAAAAAAAAGGAACGATGTGTGTAAGGGGGTTTGTGAGTTGGCGCGTGTCTGCCAACTATTAAAGAGTCAGGTTTGAGAACTATATGTAGATGTTCAAATTGATTGTACTAAAAAGTTCCATTGAGAAGCTAGCTTGATTTTCAAACCTAAAATTTTCTTGTCCAGGAAGACTCTTTAAAGTGTATTGAAATTCATAATGTTACTGTGACATCTGGAAGTTGTGGCCAAATGCATAAAACAAAAACATTTATTGGCCCTGTCTCAATAGGCAAGAAGTTGTGCTGTCAAGAATTATTAAGGTGACACGAGAATTATATACTTACAGTTTTCTTCTGCAGTTCGAACATAATTTCCTTTTTGGACTTTGTTGATTTTGGTCTGTTCAGGGAGAATACAGAGGGTCGCTTTGACGACCTCTCCATTCTGTAAAGTAGAACATATTTACAATGATAGAAAACATTATTTTATTTGATTAAATATGATGTCGTTTAAAAAGTTGTAGATCTGACATCAGTGCCGTCTTCAGTATTACTGATTTTATAACCCCCCCCCCCCTTAAAAAAAATCCCCAAACCTACAAAACAAGTCCATTTTCTTTAGATACATCACCTCTCACTTAAGAAGGGTCCTTGTTTTTAATGGGGGACTGAGGTAAAATTTTTGTTACTTTTATGTATACGTAGCCCCTCCCCCTTCTGATACTCTCATGGAATATTATATGCTTATCTCTTCATGATGACATGCTGATAGAATTACGATGTTAATTACAAAGGAGATGTTTTAAACATGTTTTGAAAATTTTAATAATTGTTAAAAAATAAAGAAGTAAGAAGTTAGATATGAATCTTACTTGATTTGAAAGTTAAGTCCAGGCGGTCCAGTTTATGTATTTCTTCTTCTTCTTTTAATTAAAAGGCGTTAGTTTCCGCTCAGTTTTTGGTCGATATGTTGGTATAGTTTACTAATTTAACATATAACTTACGACTGTTGGCCATAGTTCCGAATCAATAATGCATAAAAAGAAGTTTTCATTAAACAAGTTCTTTTACACCGTCATTCAACGGAAATCATTATTTCCCTATCCAATGTAAACTCCGGTTATGTGTTAAAGTTAAATAACATTCTGTTCAAAATCATGTCTATTTTTCAAATTAATTTCATTTAAAGAGATATCTCTTAAAGTATTTGGATATAACGATTTCTTTATTTCACTTTAATAAAAAGACGTGTTTGTAAATGTCCTAACAAATATACAAAACATCAATTTAGATTTAAAAAAAAAAGTTTACTAATATTGTGTATTTGCAATCACAGAACAATTCTTCGCTCTCTTTGTTAATTTTAACTATTACATGCTTTCTTCATGCATGTAATTTTTTTCTTTTAATAAAATTGTTTGTTTACCGCCGATGTATTAGTTACATGTGCCCCGGCCCCCCTTTTCCATGCAGACATAACATCTTACTACAGAAAAATGCCACCCCCCCCCCGCCCCCAACAAAATAGGATTTTCGATTTCGGATATTTGCCTTTTATTTTGCTTGACAATTTTTTTCTTTGTAATTTAACCCCCCCCCCCCTTCCTGCATACACTTTCAAAAACGATGCTACTTCACTGAGGGATATCGTTCAGTGTTCATTATTTATTGGTTGACAGGGGTGATGCTGAACAATTATACCTTAAGGAAGACATCTACAGTTTTGTCTGAAATAATTAATTATTTTAGATTGCGTGAATATTTAAAATTGGTTTTCCTGGAAGTTTCCTGTGATTTTGTATTTGAATTACCTCGGTAATATCCAAGCTGCAATACGAATACTGTAATCAACAGTAAATAAAAAAAAAAGACTTTCAAAAGCAACGAAAAAAGATTAGCAGGCAAAATTAAAATTAAGTGCAAGAAAACCCAGTAAAATGAGTGATATATATATTTGTTCAGCCTAAAACTAGATGAAAATAAGTGCTTTAATTTATTTTTACTTATTTATTTTAAAGCTTTGGAAAGCTGTTCAAAATATTTAAAATCCTGGTAGCATTTATCTTTTGCCTTTTTTTTGCATTATTGTACAAATATACACATAAATAAAAAAAATACTGGTATTAAATTAATTAATCGTATAAATTCGTCGTTCAACTTCTGATTATCTCCCTTTGTTTTTATCTCTAATGTTGAAGGTAAACAAGACATCGACTTCCTCTTTTCCACGTCGTGGAAGTAAACAGACCTGTCAAGTCATTTTTTCATCAAATAAAGAAAATCTATTGAATATCATAGACAAAACTTTTTGGAAAAAAATCAGAATGGCTTCTATCGAAGATTTACAGAAGAAGATCCAAGAACTCGAAAGAGAACTAAAAGAAGAGCGGAGCAAAGGCGGAGCTATGCGAACAAAAATAGCACAGATGAGCTCCGAAGTTGTAGATTCTAATCCATACAGGTATACTCAAAGAGAATTGAAACGAATTTTGTTAAACTTAGAGCTATTTACAATTAAATATTGAATTTATTTTTATTTTGTAAAGATGGAGAAATATAATTTTAAATTTATCTCAAACATACAGATCTTTGTTGTTTACCATATGGTAAGATTACAGTGTTTACATCCTGATTCTGAGACATTCATATTTTTATGTTTCGGTTTTTATTTCAGAATATTTTAATTTAATGACATTATCTTTAAACATAATTTTGTGTGTAGGGAGATAAGAACCATTTCACTCAATATATTGGAAATGTTTTTTTTCAGTCGATTGATGGCATTAAAGCGTATGGGCATTGTAGATAATTATGAGGTAAATATGTTATTTATTTATCCTGGAATACATGAATAATAAATAAGATATTGTCACAGATTCACAGTAAAGCTTTATGTAAGATTTTATTGCTTACAGAAAATTCGAGACTTTACAGTCGCTGTGGTTGGAGTAGGGGGTGTAGGCAGTGTTACGGCAGAGATGCTGACCAGATGTGGCATAGGAAAGGTAAACCATCAACTGATATTGTGTAGAATTTAATTATGTATAGTGTTTCTCTATAATAAGTTATTATAACAAAGTGCGGTGATGGCGGAAAAGAGGAAACAGTATGGTAAAATAAAATGATATTTATTAGTGCCCACAATTATACTACAAGTATACAACAATGATGGAGCTGACAGAGACACGTCTGCACTCCACAGCAAGCAACAGAAAAAGAGAGCAAGGATAGGTACATGTCAAAGCAGGTGTGTGACATATACCAGGTGATCGGAGGTAGCAGGACAATTCGTGCCCAGCACCTCCAGGACCACTACATATGGAAATAGATATACCAGTACATTAAAGGTGTATGGTCCATTTTTTTTCTTCTTGTTTCACAGAAAAAATAACTTTTGTGGGTCTACAATATTTATAAAGACTATTGAGTGGATACAGTCGAACTATAGTGTCATGCTTAAATTATGTAATTTTATTCAGTGAACAATATTTTGATTTCAGTTGTTACTGTTTGATTATGATAAAGTGGAACTAGCCAACATGAACAGACTTTTCTTTCAACCACATCAAGCTGGTATGAGTAAGGTTGAAGCTGCAGAGAGAACATTAAAGTGAGTGTCTAGTTCTCTCTTTACATATAATTCTGTACCTTTTTAAGTATGATGCACTTGTTCTATTCTTCTTGAAAAGTCAAAGGTTAAGGAATGGATTGAAAAAAGACGGCTTTAAATGATTTTTATATGTAAATTAATTTAAAAGCATTTGACTAAGATTTGTTTTATTCATTTAAAGGGAAATAAATCCTGATGTGGAGTTTGAAGTGTATAATTACAACATAACAACAGTAGATAATTTTAATCATTTCATGGACAAAATTAGGTAAGAGAAATTTTTAAAATGCTTCATAATTTAATTAGAGCATATTCTTCAAAACCATAATATTTCAAAATGATAAGACTTGCTATCTTTCTACTGTTTTAGGAAAGGTGGATTGAAAAAGGATACCACAGTAGATCTTGTTCTCAGTTGTGTAGATAATTTTGAAGCAAGAATGACTATAAATACTGTAAGTATTATTAATGTATAAAAAAGTTGGGTATCTGTAAGGGGAATTTCAATAAGAATTTAATAAAAATAGTTAGACATATATTTAACTTAGATAAGATTGATTATAGGCTTGTAATGAGATTGGACAGACATGGATCGAGTCGGGAGTCAGTGAGAATGCTGTTTCAGGCCATATACAGTTTATCATTCCAGGGGAAACCTCTTGTTTTGCTGTAAGACACTATCTCTACAATAATTCAAAGAATGATAGACTTCAAGGTCAGAAATAATAAAATTGTAATCTTTTATCATTACACAGAAAAGGGGGAGGTGTCAAGGATATGCTAGTGATTGAGTACTTTGTTATGTTATTGACCATATTTTATTTTTGATACTTCAAAAGACAGAAAAGTTGGTTAAAAAATTGTAGCTACATGTACTTGTACCAGATTATACTAGAAGGAGGACTAAAAATCATTTTCATATTAGGATTTCCAATTATCTTTGTCAGTTTATGTACCATATTGCATTATCAACTACCACCCATTTAGTTTGGGGGGATCAGAATTGATCTTCAGAGAAAGACTATTTATAAAGAAATTGTTTTTTTTTTCAGTGTGCTCCACCATTAGTTGTAGCTACAAACACAGATGAGAAAACTCTGAAAAGAGAAGGAGTGTGTGCAGCAAGTCTTCCCACCACAATGGCTATTGTTGCCGGCTTCCTTGTACAAAATACTCTCAAGTAAGTATCCCTGTACAAATATGTACAAAATACTCTCAAGATAGTAACTGTACAAAATATGTACAAAATACTCTCAAGTATGTGACCCTGTACAAAATACTCTCAAGTAAGTAACCCATCTTCCCATTTCAAATACTGTATAGGGGGAAAATAACTCGCGGTGTTAATATTCGCTATATTCACAGTGATATTAAATCCGTGAATTCAAGAAACACTGAATAATTTTTCAATATCTCGATGTTTTATTTGGAAATTTGAGAATAGACAACGATAGGGCTACATACATGTATGCGAAGTACATGGTCATTTCGGCCGGTAATTACGAGTAGTGCTCGTCATTCAATTAATTTGATTATCATGCTTAACTTAAATTGAAATCAGCAGAAAAGCCGTATTTGTTAAACAAGCTGTTTCAATAGCCAACGCTACATGTTTTATCAATCAAAACACGTGAGTCATGGGTTTTGATTATCCGTGCGTAACTAATGTTACCACGTGTATTTGTTACTGCATTATCATGCATGCATGAGTTTTTATTGACATTTTGGTTTAAAAAAATCATTCAAATAACTATAGAACTTACTGAATATGTGGAAGGATATTTCGTCGACCTTTTCCAACATTAACACATTTATTACTGTCCAGTGCTTTTTCGTTGCATTGTATCGAAGATCTTAGGGTGTAGGAAAGGCATTTGATGTTTAGAGTCAAGGACTTTTGATAACTGCACTTGTTTTAGTTAATCGTCAACTGTTTTATATCAAATCTTATTGTTTTATTTAAACCTACCCAGTTGTTCATGAAATAAAGTCATAACACTGATTATTAATAGCGTTTACATGTAGTTATGGTATGGATAAACGGATATAGACAAGGGAGGTAACATTTATTATGTACCAAATCCGCGAATTCAAGAAATCGTGATCGTGTCAGGTGAGAGAAAAACGTGAAAATTACAACCCGTGAAATTAATCCCCTATACAGTAATACAAGAAAACACTGCTACTATCTCCAGATTACAGATTTACAATCCTAAATGTATTATAGTCATAAAGAAGAGAATGTGTCCATATTAAAAGATAGTGTAGTTATCAATGTCTAAAATACTGGTAAAAATTTTGACAGAAGAGTGCTTTTATGCTTGTGCATCTTCAATGATTTCTCTTTACTTTTATTGACTTTATATATTTTAAGGTATTTACTGAAGTTTGGAGATGTGACTTACTATCTGGGCTATAATGCTCTACAAGACTTCTTCCCAACGATGGCCATGAAACCAAACCCACAGTGTGATGATAACCATTGTAAAAGACAACAAAAAATATTCCAGGTACATTTAGATAAAAAATCTGCCACTTTCTCTATATCCACCCCTTTCTTTAAATACATATACATCCACTTATTTTGCATGTAACAGAATGACAACTCATTCTGCACACGCATGTTATTGTTGTGGGGTTTTTTACCATACAAATTAACTTTTCATTATTACATTATGTTTATCTTTACAAGATTACATGATTATCTTTACATTATTACATTACAGTTGTCTTTACCTTATTACACTTTGATTATCTTTACATTATTACAATTTGATTGTCTTTACATTATTTTTTTTCTTCAATCTTGTTATAGCAGAGAGAAGCATCAAAACCAAAAGAGGAAGTGAAAGAAAAAGTAGAGGAAGCCATTGTCCATGATGATGAATGGGGTAATTCTGTGTGTTTTTTTATCAGTGTCACAGATATACAGTTGAACTTCAGTGTCTTGAACACTGATATCAAAAATACCATGGATATGTCTCTTAGAATTTCACCCCTGATATCTCAGTTCTTCAGATACCGGTATCTTGAATTTTTTTCTCAGTTCCACCCAATTTGAGATATTGATGTTTGACTATGTGCATGACTGTATAGAAAATCACGATAGAAGGATCTTCAGATTGTTGAATTCAATCCCATAAATTTTAGTTTTGTATTAATTGGTTCCTGAGTTTGATCTCGTATTTATCATGCTTCATTTACAGGGATAGAACTTGTGTCTGAGACCACTGATGAGGAACTGAAACAGGCCCAGGGAGACATGCCAACACTCACAAAGGGGGTCACTGTAGCCTACACAAAACCAGCACCCACACGAGTAAGGCAGATTACTGCTGAACACTTCAACTTTTCTTAAACTTTCTCAAAATCTTTATTTCTAAGACTTATATGTACATAGGAGAGCTTTTGTAAATTAGTATTGATATTGGTATTAGATTCATTGCAATAATATATATATAAAGGATATTTTCATTCCTTTTCTGTTAATAAAAATGTTAGAAAATTTGTACTGAGCTAGTTTCACTAGAGAAAAAGAAGGAGAAAGTATAATGTTTGATCAGCTTATAAAAACAGACTTCATGATGTTGATTACTTTGTAGGATGACAACGCTGCTCAAGTCGAGGACTCTGGTGAGAGTTTAGAGGACCTCATGAAGAAAATGCAGAGTATATGAAACTTCACTCTACATACAGAAATGTCTCTTGCTGGACAAGGACCTGAGATATCTCACTGAGATGTTGTGAAATATCTCACAAAAACTTTGGTATCTCAGAGACCTTACTGCCACCACCATCTAGTCATGCTTACGCCCCTTTGACAAATTGAACAGCATAGTTATTACATGTGTATAAATGTTCTTTTTCATGTGAAAGGTTGTACAAAAGATCTGATGAAATTAAAATGGTTTTTGGCCCTGGTGCATGATTTCATCTGATTTATTTGATAAGACACAATTGTAATTTATATTTTATTCTTATTCAAAATAAGTGTTTAATATTATAAGTGCATTGGTGATTGACAATAAATTAATTTAATACATGTATTCATGACTGAGTTTTTAACAGTTTTTCTGTAGAAAAAACCTGGTTATTGAAATGGTGAAAATGGCAGGTGCCAAGTGGTTGCCAAAATAGCACCCCTCTTGTCTGTATAACTCCTCCTAGTTTTCAAGCTATGAATTTTTTTTACCTTGGTTGTTCTGGTGATCAATTGTACATATATCAGACTTAGATTTGAATTTTTGATATTTTATTAGAAAAACAACTTAATCACTTTTTAGCCAATCTGATTGTTACTTTTTAGCAAAATATAACATATAGGCTATCCCATTGTCTGGAAAACTATTGTTTTCAAGATTGGAACTTTTTATACTTCCTGTAAATGAAGTTTAGGGGGATATACAGGAATCATTTTGTCTGCCTGTCCATCCTCCTATCTGTCCATACAAACCTCTGGCTAAATTTTTTTGTGAAGAAGCACTGAAAGCTAATTCTTTGTACAAAGAATGCTTATGTCCCAATGGTTTGTCATGATATTGAGCCAAAGTCATTCTTGTAACTGGCTAAAAAAGTTTAAAATTCTTCTCCATGCTTTAAGATTGTAATAGAAATCCCTGGAAGCACTTAATGAGAACAAAGATTGCTTATGATCAAAGGATGTGTCGTGACCTTGAGCCAAGGTAATTCTGGATGTTCAAAGTCACTCACTGAAAAAAAATCTTTTCTAACTTTGCATTGGAGAATCACTGGAAGCTCTTAACTGATGCTGAGTTTGCTATTGAAACAAGGTTACGACAAGACCTTAACCCAAGGTCATTCCAGCTAGTATGAAGTCACTGGCAAAATATGTATAACTCTGGTCTGGGATACAACTTTCCAATGGAGAATCACCAGAAGCTCTTATTTGTATAAAGATCGCTAATGTCCTTTTTGTTTGTCATGACCTTGATCCAAGGTCATTCTGACAAGGTTAAGGTCAATGGCAAAAAAGTATTACATTCTTTTCATGGCTGTATTTTTCTAATGGAGAATCACTAGAACCTCATCATTGGTACAGGGATTGTTAATGATCAGAGGATGTGTCATGTCCTTGGCTAGGTCAATCCAGGAAGTTCAAGGTCATTGGTTTTTACAACAGGCTTAATTTTCAAGAGAAAAAAAAACAGTTCTATTTACACAAAGAAATCCTAGTTTGTTGTCACATTGATTGATTGTATGTTGTTTATTAAAAGTCCCTCTCAAGAATTTTTCACTCGTATGGAAATGCCACCACTTGACGGTGGAGAGCTGCAAATTTTGTCCTATACTTGGCACTTATGGCCATTGCACAGTGAGGGGTCTTTTTTATGCCAGCACCTACTGCGACGCAGGACCTCAGTTTATACAGTCTCATCCAAAGGAATGGTCTCCATGTCCCTCCCACAGTGGGATTCAAACTCAGGACATAAGCATCTAACCACTGTGCCACACAAGCGATGTTTCATTGAAGTTGTCTACTTGATTTAAAAGCAATATTTGTAAATAACAAAGTAAACACAGTCAAATTCCAGCATCTCCACTCAATGGTGCACAGATATATCATAGATTCTAGATATTAATGTTAAGACTTTTAAAGTCACAATACAGCTATAACTTTTGTCATCCTTGTGACTGGGTATTTTAGTGTGCTTGAATTTGGTCATTTTTAGAGGGAGAGAAAAAGAAAACACCATGACAAATATTTACTTCAATTTAAAACAATTTAATTCAAAATAATAATCTGCTGTTTTATCACAGCAACAATAATTTTATCAATTAAAAATAACTAAATATCTATAAAACAGAATATGTACATTTAGTTTAATAAAATGAGGGACAACTGTCTTTAAATCAAATTGATAGATGAACATTTCTTACAAACGACTACATACATCTCTAAAATGACTGCAATATTAAGCACTTAATTAATGACACATTATGAAAAGTGATACTGGAAAAAACAATTTCATTCAACATTCACAGCTATGGTGTACTAGTATTTTAAATGCCATTTAAGTATTTGTAATAAATGTATTTTAAATTTAATACTAGTACACACAATGGACACATATTTCTTTAGAAGAAAAATACTTCAAAAAATTACACTCGTACAAAGTCACAAACATAAATCCTCGTATAAAAATGTCCACTTCAATTATTTGATTCATGACGTAAAAATAATGTTAGTACATAAAAAAACGTTTTACCTTTCAATTGAAGGAATTTAAACAAAACACTAACACGTCTAATCAATTATTGCCACATGGTTCTTGAGTGCACACAATTAATTAAAACAATAATTCTGCCGCATTAGAAGACAACAATTCAACACACAAACCATATAAAAACTGCTGCCTTTTATGATAACCTGCTGTTTTATGCATTCACAGATCAATGTAATATCTGAATGTTAAATATTACAATACTTTTTAAGTCAATATTCTTAATATGAAGTCTATTTTTTCAATGTTTCTAATACTATGTCTCACATTTAAATGTGTGATAAATGTGTACTTTTTTCAGCATTACACAAAAATATTGAAAATACTGAATTTTGGGAAAATTCACTGATGATAAAATAAGTACACCCTATGTGTGTTGGAGATAATCTTCCAACCTTTATGTTTTTGGAGAAGAAACATAAGACTATTTGTAAGTAATAGGATGTAGCACTGTTCATGTGTAAGTTTTTGTAGTGTTAAAACACACATTTTTATAAATTTTAGTACCCTTTGGTTTACTTTCATCACATATTCATTATATTTTTCCCAGAAATCCAGAAAGGTATAATCAACTCTTAATGTGATCTCAAATATCCCTTGGCTATTTGGTGAGTCTGTTTCAAGAGATAAAATGTCTCAAATATCTGGTGAGCCTGTTTTACGATAAACACTACCAAACTTGCCCATATATTTTTTAACATAGTCTTTGGCTTTGGATTTGACGTTTTCATTGACCTCCAGGTCTTCAACATGACGACAATGTTTCAGTTCTTTGGCCATCACATGATGTGTCAACTACAATTCAGAAGAAATAAAGTTACTAATTTAGAAAAAAATGCAGGATTTTATAAAATGACTCATTAGCCTCAATTCCCATGTACTAAGTCACACTACATGTAAATTTAAATTATCTTATAGTTCTTTTACCTTCCTTGCTAGATGTTTGAAATCCTCTGTAGAGCTGATTCTTCCAGCCTTACAGTCGGGTTTTCTGAATGGATTCAGACACACCACAATATAGGAGGACATCTGTCGTCGGAACTGGTCTTTGATTCTCTTCACGGCTTCAGTGGATGTATCTGCTGCAGCTGTCGTGGCCCTCTTACTCTTCCCCTGTAATAGAAAAATTTGATTCGGTAACGGCCATGGGGAATGAAAATCACTTTACAGATAGAATACAGACAGATTACAGACAATCTTTAGTGACCTATCCTTACCTTCACAATCTCCTCGTACAACGGAGACTCGAGATCCATAGCATCATCTGCTTCAATACTTTCCCAGGAAGGAGGATCCCACTGCGTTTGTCTGAAGTAAGAAGCATATATATATTGATACTTACATATTGAAGTTATAAGAAAAAAAAACCCAACTAATTGAGATGATTGTACATGTATTTCAAAAAGTTGTGACCTTCACCTTGTGACCTCAAAATCAGTAGGTCATCTACTACTTAATGGGGAACCAGTGTATTAAAGCAAAGAGTTCATAAGATATTGATAGGACAATATTTGGTTTACTAACTGAACCACAGGCGCAAACTAATCTGTCCCCTTTTTTCAATGGTCATAAGTAATTATCATAAAAGTGGTTATTAAGAGTGTCTCCCTCTTCTTTTGTTCTATAAGATGCACAAGATAAGAAGATGGAAAACACTGATACAAACCTTGTGACTGTGTGATAGTAGTAGGTTTTTCCCAAACACTGATACAAACCTTGTGACTGTGTGATAGTAGTAGGTTTTTCCCTCAGAGTCCTTGGCAGACTTCCAGTTGGGTGGTAACTTCTCCACTTTGGGTTTGGGGGGAGATGGAGGAGGAGGGGGGTCATCATCATCAGCTGAGGATGTGGTGGCTATGGCAACAGGGGGAACAACTGCTAGCTGTGTCTGAGTACCATAGGGACCAATCTGTAACACAACAAACTCTCAGTGCAAACAATATCCATTAGTAAATTTGGTGTAGCAAAGTTTCAACTCTTTCAGATTTAATATTTAGACATATGTACTGTATACAGGGTTATTTTTGCCAGGTCTTATTTTCGCCCTTTCACACTTAGTTTTGTTTAAGAAATTATACTGTATTCTTTGAATTCGCTTCGTTTAAAATTTGCCCAAAGGAGGATAAGGCAAAAGGGGTGAAAATAAAACGGGGACGAAAATTTCCCTGTATACAGTACGAGTAGAAAACCCAGTAGCAAGTTTCACTTGAAACAAGAGATGTTTGTAAAACACTTATGCCCCCCTCCCCCCAATTGGAATTTTTTTGCAAGTTCAAGGGGGCACAACTCTATCAAAAATGGCACGATTGTACCCAAAGCAGAACTTGACCTAGATATTCATCTGATTAATCTGTATTTTAAATTTCATCTCAGTATGTGCAACGGTTGCAAAGAAAATGAACGGAAACTGCAAATAATTGAAATTTTTTCAAACTCCAAGGGGCATCACTCTGTCAAAAATGGTGCGATCATACCCAAAACAGAACTTGACCTAGATATTCATGTGATATATCTGTATACCAAATTTGATTTCAGTATTTGCAATGGTTGCAAAGAAAATGAGCGGAAACTGCAAATAATTGAAATTTTTTCAAACTCCAAGGGGCATCACTCTGTCAAAAATGGTGCGATCATACCCAAAACAGAACTTGACCTAGATATTCATGTGATATATCTGTATACCAAATTTGATTTCAGTATTTGCAATGGTTGCAAAGAAAATGAGCGGAAACTGCAAATAATTGAAATTTTTTCAAACTCCAAGGGGCATAACTGTGTCAAAAATGGTGCGATTATACCCAAAACAGAACTTTACCTAAATATTCATGTGATATATCTGTATACCAAATTTGATTTCAGTATGTGCAACGGTTGCAAAGAAAATGAGCGGAAACTGCAAATAATTGAAATTTTTCCAAGTCCAAGGGGCATAACTCTGTCAAAAATGGTGCAATCGTACCTAAAACAGAACTTGGCCTAGATATTCATGTGATATATCTGTATACCAAATTTGAATTCAGTATGTGCAACGGTTGCAAAGAAAATGAGCGGAAACTGCAAATAATTGAAATTTTTCCAAGTCCAAGGGGCATAACTCTGTCAAAAATGGTGCGATCGTACCCATAACAGAACTTGGCCTAGATATTCATGTGATATATCTGTATACCAAATTTCATTTCAGTATGTGCAACGGTTATGAAGAAAATGAACGGAAGCTGAATGGACCGACAGACCGACGGACCGACAGACCGACCGACAGACAGCAGCAAAGCAATATGCCCTCCCTTCTTCGAAGGGGGGCATAAAAAGCAAGGCTAGGAGATATAATCTACAGAAACACCCAAAACTGATATTTGCAAAAACATAATAAAAAGCAAAGCCACAATGATAAATGAAAGATTTCATAAGCAAAGATCTGTAGAAAAAAAAATCTTCCAAAATTGTTACAATTTATTACTCAAAGTACATGTTAATGAAAAATAATATGGTGTTTTTTATATGGGAATCTACAGTATAGCAACTACACAACACACTCTTACTGTTGAGCCAGTGTTGTCCATCTTAAAATGGAAAAAAGAAAACAAAAATGAAAGTTTCATATACACATACTTTTCTATAGTGTCCTAAACATATTCCTAAAATTGTGATACCAAATAGAGTAATCTGATCACAATGATTTATAATTAAAGAAGTTTTCAATTTCAAGTAATGTTAACAAGGTTTTTCCATCATCAAAATTCCTCTGGGGCTCAGTTCTCAATTCATATTTTCTAAATTCAGTTTTCATGGATGATCAATTCTATCTTCCAAAACACCCTCTTGTAACTGTGGTTTGTTTTAATGTGGCATATAAAAAATGTCCTATGGCACGAAATATGCCAACTGTTCATGAAGAACATTGGCAAACACTAAATCGAAATAATGGAGATTTATTTTCTTAAAAATTTGTTTTCAAAATTAAAAAGAGAAAAATTTCGAAGACAAAATTGAGAGAATGAATCTTACCTGTTGTAGGTAGACAGTCTGTCCAGGTATCTGGGTCACCTGAGTGCCTGGTACCTCCACTGTCTGGGTCATTATCTGCTGTTGGGGGACCCCGGAGTACACCAGGTGTTGGTCTACCTGATGAACAGAAACGATCTGTCCCTCAGCATTCACATACTGCTGCTGCACCTGTTAGATCAAAATGGTCAATTAAATCAGTTGAACTGTCACAACTTTCAAAACAATAAATTTAATTACAACCTGAATTAACTTCAAATGGTCAGAGAGGTTTGTTGAAACTGAATCCAGCCTAGACTTTCCAATAAATATTAGTATACTGAACACGTGAATCAACTTCAATTAGATCAACTTCAAATTTTAATCAATTCCATATATCTGAATTTATCATGCACCTGCTGTTGACTACAGAATTGCTGTACTTATCAGATTCAGTAGAGTACCTGTTGTTGAGGCCAGACTTGTTGTATAGGTTGACCATCCTCTGTATACATGACCTCTGGCTGCTGTTGGTGTTGATACATGGCTTGGAGTTGTTCAACCGTGATTGGCATTCCTGTGTTGGGGTCAATATACTGCTCCACAACCTCTGTCAAAAACAGAAAGATGTACGTTAGTGACAGTAGGTTTCTTTTAGTTCTTATTTTTTACATGTACATATCTAAAATGTTTCACCAAGGATTTTTTTATAACACTTCTATCAAACCATACATAATTAAGTTTGAACAACACAACTTGTATGAAAAGAAGCAATGCCTATGTTTACTCTCTCTTGTCTTACCCTGTGAGTTGTAGCCCTGTACCATCTGATACTGGACTTCTAGTGGCTGAGACTGGAGGATCTGCAGCTGTTGATCGGGTGGCATGCCGTACAGTGGGTGGTTAGGGGTCCTGTTGAAGTACAGAATGTTGCTGGGGTCACTGTAGAACTGGTTCAAGAAGGCCTCTTGTTGCTGCCTCTCTCTGATCTCCATCTCCTCTCTGGCCTTCACCTTTGCCTCAAACATCTTCCTGTGCTCTGCCTTGCTGATTTTAGGTGGTGTGGGTAAAAGTACTTTCCTGAAAGCATTAAAATATTTCTTAAAATATGTATCTTCACTTAATTTGAAGCATTCAACTCCTTTTTTCTTGAAGGAAAATTTATGCATTAAAATATTAAATATTTGATCATAATTATTTATTTTACTGGCATGTTTCAATCTACATAATGCCCTGGTGTTTACCTTTCCTCATCATCTGTGGGTGGGGGTGGGGGAGGGGCCCTCTTCCTTTTTCTGATACCTGTGTCCCAACCAGCAGCTAAAATGGAAGACAGACATGTATACTTATGTCAACGAGTTACACATATAAATTAGCTCTACATTAACATTCTACATTAATTCTTTTCTTTTCAAAAAAAAAAAAAAATATTTACCTCTTTGTTTGCTTTTATCTTGTATCATTTCCAGTATTTCTAAGTCAATATCCTTAGTTGTACCTGCCAAAATAAGAACTTAAGTTGTTAAAAATTACATAAAGTCATTTTGAATATTTAAAATTCTGAAATGTTAAAATGTAAATCATGAAATTTTTTTTTTCATTTTGCAGTAAAAAGCAATAGCTTTAATACATAATTACTTACCATGTACATGTATTTGCAATGTTTGCATCTCTATTCATACATGTATATTCACTGTGTATCTGGTAAACTGATTTTTTTTTTCTCTATCATATCTGGTAAACTAACCTAATTCTTTTTCTATCCTTTTCCTTTCTTCAACTTGCTGTTTCTTTGGAATCTTGAATAATTCCTACAACATAGATTAATAATCAGTATAAATTCAAGAGAAGATTGAACATAAAAATTTCCATATTGTGACTATAATTCAAATAACACCTTACCTTCAGGTCTTTCCATAAGAACAATAGTTCCTCTGCCTGTAGTTCAATGTCACTCTTCATTTCGGCTTCCTCCTTCTGGTCTTCCTCCCCTTCACATTCATTCTCCTCACCCTCTAGGCTTGTCTTCTTCTCCTCCTCGGGGACTATGTTTACCTCATCCCCCGGGGTTACCCCTTCTTCTTCTGACACTACTTTTTTCTCCTCTCCTTCTTCTCCTTCAATGTTTGTGGAATCTGCAGAAGATGACTCAGCTGCCTCTTTGCCTCCTCCTTGATCCTCCTCTGAACCCACACCCAGGCTCTTATCAAGCACCTGTTTGTATAGGGACTCAGACTTTGGCCTCGGGCCAGCCTCTGGTTCTAACTCACCAGAGGCAGAATCACCAACAGTGTCTGTGGTACTAGAATGTGATTCATTGTCAGAACTAGAGGCCTCATCTGCAAATTTGACCCTTTTTTTCTGTGACTTGTCTTTGCCCGTTGAGGAGGAGAGAATGGACTTGGTCTCCCCCCTTTGGCCCATGGGGTTTGTAACAGTTGACAGGTCGTCATTTTCATCCCGACCAGCCAATCGACAAATTAATGGCAGGATTTTACTGTCTTTCAAAATGTTTTTATTAGTTATTGGAAGCTTCTTCAGAAGTGATAAAATCTACAAAAAAGTAAAATATTTTGTATAAATACTCAACTTCTATGATGTTTTACATTCAATACAAAGAAATATTATTCAAGTGAACAATGAAATATAGTTCAGACAAGTGAAAAATTCAACAGCTTTGGAGAAATGTGCAATTATTGCATTTCTCTCTTTTTTTAGGAAATTAATAATATCAATACAATACCATAAACTTGTCATTTAATTCAAATTTCAATTTGTCAAAACCCTGACCATGATTTTGACGTCCTCTGGTCCCTCCTTGCTGTCTGTGATCCAGCTCCATAGTAACTCCAGGCCGTGATAGTCCAGGAACAGTCGTAAACAGTTATCCTCAACAGTATCCTAAAATATATATAAATCAAATACTGTAGAACACTTAATTTTCGCGACAACTTATTTTCGCGAGATAGTCATTGACTCTTTATCAGCGAGACAAAATTTTCACAAATTGTGTTCGTTATATAATCTTATAATCTATATAATCTTAAGGAATTCTATTATATGCGTGAATGAAATTTTCGCGAGCATACTGTCTCATGTAATTACGCGAAAATAAAGTTCTCGCGAATAAAAAGTGATTTACAGTTATTCATTTTTTAAAGACTTTTTTCTATATGAATTTAATGTAAGTACACATAACTTATACAAGTTATGCAATGCTTAGAAACAGTCACTATTCAGAGCTTGTTGTACATGCATACTCTCAGGGAATAACTACGCACCTGTAGACACTTGAGAATGGTGATTCTGTGGTCGGGTGACTCTGCCCTCACCATCAGACGACAAATATTGAGGACGTGATCTTTATTCCTCAGACCATTCTCCAGCTCTGTGATGGCTTCCAGTTCCTCATCCAGCTAGACATAAAACAAACATGGAATACCTCTTTCACAAGTATTATACATTTAAATGAGGTTATAAGTATTTTTTCCAATTATCTTTGTCACAGGTTTATATACATTGAAATGAGGTGGAATGGAAAATATTATTTCAATTATCTCCCTTTAACCACCAATATCTTACAAAATTGAAATGAAACATGCAGAAGCTTAAATTCCACTTTAATGCAAGGATATCCCACCAGATCATCCTCAAATTCTGTCTTCTTCTTCCTGTCCTCCTCAGGTTTCTTTGTGGAGCGGAGTGGAGTGGTCTTACTGCCTCCAATAAAACCCCGACAGTTCTCAGAACCACAATAACACTTCTGGGCCTCTTTACTGAAAAATTGTTATATATAAATCTCAATACTTTGACAAAACATCTTACAGTTAGCACTGCACAAATGTTTATCACTACCATTAATGCTACTGGCTAGAACAATTATTCCTTAACTTACCCATATCTTTCAAACTGATAATCAAAATTGAGCTCTGTCAATGGCTCCACTGGCTTCTTGACAAAAAATCCCACCCTGAGGATGCCATTTACTGTCCACTGCAAGAAAAACATATAGATATAAAGTCCAAACTCAGAAGAAATTATAGACCAAATTTGACTCAAAAACAAAACTGCTTTCTGCCTTAACTTGAACTTTGATTCATAACTACTTGTCTGGTTTAAAATTTAGACACTGTCAATAAACCTTCTGAGTTTCACAGTTAGGATCACAGCTGTGGTTCATGTATCTGGAGTTGTTCCCTTTGTACGAGGCATCAATGACTTCATCCGAGTTTAAGGCCATGAAATAATGGTGCTCCTGACCCATTTTGGATTGCTGCTTCACTCGGGACTTGAACTGTTTGTAATCCAGGACTTCACCCACATATTCCATCACAAAGTCACCCCTGAATGAAATAAAGCCCAAATCACAACTAACATCACTGGACACTGATTCAGATAAACTTTTTCTAAAATGTAATCTGGCTTTATACCAGAGGTCACTTACGGTTGCAGTGCTACTCTTGTTCTTAGTCCCATTCCTTTCCAATCTGTCACAAATGGCTCTACATCAGCATATTGTTTCTGAGGGAAAACAGAATCAATTAAAATTCATGCTCGTTATTTAGATTTATATAGTGATTTATTGTGAAAGAATGCTGAAAAAAAAAAACAATAACACCATGTTACCTTTTGGAATCTCCTGTTTGTACAATAATCTCCACATTGACATCTGCTTCCACTGAAAATTAAAATTTTAAATTGATTATTAATTTGACTATTCTTCATTTACTTACTGTAAACCAACTTTTATTCGCATGTGAGAAATTTTCATGAGATTCGCAAGAGCCTCGTCATCACGAATACTTCTCGCCTTGAACATGTGCTTTAAGACTCTGTTTCTATTAAAAAAAGATTCAAAAAAGACTTGATCGCCAAAGTAAATCGTCATGAACTAGTTTCTTCCCGAAAAATGGTGAAATAATGTTGTTGCGAATAAAAGCTGGTTTACAGTATTTGAAAGGACAATGACTCTCAAAATTAAGAATTACAGAGGGAAGTGCCTGAAGTAGTGACTAAAGCCCTAAAACTCTCTCAATTTACCCTCCTCCCCCAAAAAGTGCCTAAAAATATTACATGTAATTTTAATCAAAAATATGTAAAAACTGTGTTTTTTACAATTATACATGTATCTACTACATAAAATTCCATTACTAAAAACAAAAATAAATTGTGGACTTTCTCTCTAGTAAAGACCTGATCTTACCACTCAATGTACAACATCCTGTTGAGGCAGTCCTCACCGCAGGCCTCGTACCCCAGGTCTCGGTCTTCCTTACTTGTCGTACAGTCACAAAGCATCCGCCTCACATCCTTCATCTTCTTCGTCTTCTTCCTGAAAAACAATAACAGTCCTTGTCTTAATCATTCTTATGCAGACATACCTACACATTTTAAAACAGGATTCTTTGAAATCATTTCAGTCGCTGAATCTAGAATATTAGTAGGTGATAATGTGATTAGACTATCAGAACAGAATAAGTTTATTAAATCAAAAAGTGTCTACCAATTTGAAGTTAATGCTAAGGTACAAGTAAATGAAGGGTAATTATGAAAGAAAATTTTCATATAAAAGCTCTTTCAAGTATTAAATTTCTTTCATTTGAAACAGCATGTTAATGTATTTGTAGTTATAGGCATTCTTCACTTTGTTGTGAACAGTTTGAGAAAGATAACTGATTTCTCTCTTAAAAAACAAGTAATTCATTGAAAAAGTATACACAAAATTTATAGATATTGTTTACCCTTTAAAGATAAGAGTATAGAGTACCAGTTTTTAACTTTAAAATGGATCTGTTTGTGCATCTGGTTCAGGAAAATCACTACAGAGAATAAACTCTTAGAAGGTCTTAAATTCTGTGAACAATTACCAGACACCCCTCCCAGCTCCTTCCCCTAAACACACATCAAAAAGTGTCTCTGAACTCACAGCAAAATCTTATACGTGTAAGTAAAATTGTTTAGACAAATTCATAAGCTTGTGAAACTATTAAACAGTTTCAAATGATTATTTACCTTTCACAGAGATAAATATTGTCTTCTATATTCTCAAATGGAGGTTTCTTTGTCCCGCTTTCCTTCTCCTCTGATTTAACCTCCATGACCTGTGATGTCACGTCAGCATTCTGTATTGTCTGCTTCTCTCTGTCTTTCTTCTCCTTCTTCTGCATCTCTGGTTTTGTTAGAACTGCTGATGGTATCCCCAGAAGATCACAGGATGGATCCCAGGCATCGTAATTTTCCACAGCCTTTCTTATATCGGATAAATCCTTTTCTTCAGCATTGTCCGTTTCTGACTGAGAAGTGGAGGAAGACACATTATCAAGAGATGGAGACAAGGTACTCCTTGATGGACTTTCCAAGTCTAGTTCACTAAATCTCCTCCATCTGGACTTCACTTTCTCTGGCTTTCCTTCCTTGACTTGTGGAGAAGTGGATGGGGGTGGGTGTGATATTTCACTGTCTTTAATGGCCTGCTTGAAGCCTAGCTTGATCGGAAGATGCCTGTTGACATTACGGGCTGGTTGTGAGGATTCCTCGATCTCTGAGGTGGTGACAGGTTGGGAAGGTTGAGGTTCTGCTTCATCTTTCTTCTCCCCAGTTGCTATTTCTTCATCTTCACCATCAGAAGGTGTAGGAGTGCTTGGTTGACCCTCTCTGTTTCCTTCTGTTGTTTGAGATGCAATATATCCACTTGGTCGAACTGGAGGAGAGAATATAGGAGGGGAGCTTACTCTTTGAGGTTTGACAGCTGTACTTGGTACCCTGGAAGGGAATCTTGGAGTACCTGGTTGTTGAGGTACATTTGGCAAGCGATTCATAGGACGCACTGAGCCAACTTCAGGCTGAAACAAAATTCAAAATATGTCAATGAAATCTGACATGAAAATTGAACATTAAAAGTGCATTTCTCCGTTAATGCATTAATTATTTTCTTATATTTTCCAGTTAGGGACATTTAGACATTTGAGAAGAATTTTGTACATGAATACAAACAAATGAACTAATGATACTAGTAAAATCTTGTTGTCATGTCATACCTCATTAAGTGGCTGGACTGGTTGACCAGGATAGCCAGGGGTCTTTGGAGGTTGTGCCACAGCTGCTGAGGAGATGGCTGACAGAATACTGGGCTGAGTGGGCACGTGCCCATACACAACAGCTGTCCTCGGCACTGCAGTAGGGGCGGGTTGGAATGGAGGGTGATGTGTCTGCTCCTGGCCATACACCATTTCCTGATGAACAGGCTGTCCCTGAGTATTGTATACTGGAGTATTTGGCACATTGTACAGGTTAGAGGTCTGGGCTGGCACTTGCTGCATTGAAGGATATGTATCTTGAGGATAGACCTGAGGCTGGGACATCACAGTCTGCTGAGGAGGTATTGGATATCCAGAGTTGGGATCCACATTTGGATACTGTGAATACGTTTGATAGGCACTGTTGGTATTTGCTTGGGTCACTGGTACAGGGTAGTAATTACCATAGGCATCCTGGTAGTATTCAGTTGGTGCTGGTTGCACTGAAGGCTGCTGCTGAGGTGCTCCAGTTGCTGAGGATGATGCCGCTGTTTCTGTTAACATTTTCTTTTTGGCTGCTAACTGGCTCTCAAACTTAAGCCATTCATCAGTGAGATTTTTCTTCTTGTCTTCCTCTCTATCTGACTTACTACGTCTTGACCTATGTTTAGGTGATCGCTCCTCATCACTGCTATCCCTGTGTCGTCTCTCATCTCTTTCAGGTCTTCTACTGGACCTCCTCTCATAATATCTCCTATCCCTGTCTCTACTTCTACTTCTAGATCGACTTCTGCTCCTTTCTCTAGACCTCTCTCTTCCTCTTTCTCTATACCTTTCCCTTGACCTGCTTCTTTCTCTACTTCCCCTCCTCTCTCTTTTTCTATGCCTATCATCATAATTTCTATCTCTATACCTGTCATCATGCTCTCTTTCTCTATGTCTGTCTTCATAATCTCGATCTCTTTGTCGTTCCTCATGATCTCTATCTCTACGCCTATTGTCATGTTCCTTATCTCTATCTCTACGCCTATCATCATATTCTTTTTCCCTATCTCTACGCCTATCATCATGTTCTCTTTCTCTGTGCCGATCCCCGTAATCTTTGTCCCTTTCTCTACGCCGTTCCTCATATTCTCTATCTCTATGTTTTCTATCCCTGTCTCTGTTGTCTCTATCCTTTTCTCTGTCCCTATATTCTCTATCTTTGAGATCTCTATCTCTATCTCTATCTCTGTCATAGTCATCTCTCTCATGCTTGCTGCTTGTATATTCATCATAGCTGCGTTCCCTCGAGTCCTTCTTTTCTGTCTTCTTCAAAAATTCATCCACTTTTTCCTCCAAGCTTGGTGAATCTGGCTTAGGTTTTCTCACTTTTTCCAAAAACTCATCAAACTTTCTTTCCACTGTTGTTTTAGGCTTTTCCACTTTCTTCAGAAATTCATCCACTTTCTTATAATATTCTCTATCATCAATCTTGGACTCCTCAGATTCAGAAGCACTTGATGCATTGTGTGGGTTGGATTCCACAAATGGATTTTCTCCAGTCCAAGTAGGAGGAGCTATCACTTTCTTTGGTATTACTCCAAACCCAGAGGGACCTGGATTTGAGTCTCCATGAGATTTTTCCATTACAAGTGGAGATATGGGTAAGTTTCTGCCTAGCTCAGAAACAATTCTATGTCTAGCATGACTTTCATTTTCAGATTCTGATTTGATTTCACCATCCTCTGAAGATTCACCCAAAGTAGTGTCCGAGTCTTTTCCTTTACTCATCACAATAGGGCCTATCTTTATCATTGGTGTTTTCTTTATAGGTTGACTCATTTCTGGTTCATCTTTACTTTTCTCTGTACTTTTTTCTACATGTGAAGTGCGAGGAATTTTCCCTATAGTCAACTTCTTCTCCTTTGGATTTTCTTTTTGTTTTGCAATGACTTTTGCTAACAAGGCCTGTTTTGATAGTTCAATAGAAGACATTTGTTGTATATCTGTTGCTGAAGGTTTTGTTGTGTCATTTGATGCATGTCCATTCTCAGCACCTGCTTCATCTGCATCAGAAACCCTCTCCTCTAATTTTGGAATATTTGTGACAGTCTCTGCCTGTTGAATTAATGATAAAATGTCCCTTGAAGATGCATCAATATTTGTTACAGTAGCTTCTGTGACTATTATTTCTTGATCAGGTAACATATTTGGTGGTTTTGGAGATGGAGTACCTTGATTTTCAGATAAGCCAACTTTTAAAGGTTCCATTGATACAGAAGATTTGTTTTTCCCAATTTCTGAAGGAAGAGGAATGACTTCTGGAAGAGGGGCAGATTCAGTTAGAGGTATGGAAGCAGATGATCCACTCTGTTGATATGTTTCTTTAGTATGTGTATTAGAAACATCCACTGGCATTGGAATATCACAAGGATTAGATTTTTTCTTCTCTGACAGCACAGGTATTGGAGAATTATCTAATGCTTTTGCTTTCTCTGGGGGTATAGGAATAGAAGGAGGATTAGTTTGAGATTTTGTCTTCTCATCAGGAGGCATAGGAATATCAGATGGAAGATTTGGTGGTGCAGATGCAGTGGATGAAACCTTGCTTATGTCAACCTCGTCTTCCTTTGATGTCTTCTTTTCTGGTGGTGGAGGTGGTAATGGAATATCTGTAGGAAGAACAGACAATGCTGAGGACTGAGGTAAAGGAATATTTGGTGGATTAGTGATGGAGAAAGATGTATTTGTGACTGGTGGAGGTGCCACTGGTAGAGGTGCCACTGATGGAGCACTTCCTGGCAATGGTATGTTCATTGATGGATGGCTCACAGAAACAGGGTAAGTTGGTGGGGCAACAGGTTGGGGTGGAGGAATTGGCAAATTGGATGTTAATGATCCACTAGGTGGTGGAGGTGGAATGTTCATCTGGATAGGAGGCATAGGTGCTGGTGGAGTGGATTTTCTGTCTGTTGATGATGGACCATTTCCCAGTGGCACGCCAAAATCTGGAATAATGCTCTCAAGGGAAAGGCCAACAGTAGTAAATTTTGGGAATGTTGTCATTGGAGCATTTGGAACTGAGTTTTGTGGGTAGTTTTCATTCCCCTGAAGGATAAGGGGTTCCTGACTGTTGGAGTTGGAATCACATTCCATATCTACTGTTTCAGTATTGTCTTCTCCAGTTGGAACATCTGAGGAAACTTTCTTAGGTTCCTCTACACTAGCCATTACTTTACTTTCCACCAACTCTTTTGCTTTCTTCAAAGCAGTCTGAAATATGTCATTTTTATTCCATGCTGCTGCACCTTTTCCTTCATTTCCCTCTATGGAGTCTGCTGATACATTGGGTATGGACAACCCTGGATATGTAACAACTGCAGGTACATCAACTTTAACTGAAGTCGCTACATTTTCATTTCTATTACTCTCTTTCTCCTCCTCTTTCATGCTGGTATCACTGCCAACTTTCACTTTAAAACTGATCTCTGTGTCTTCCTCATCAGGTATGTATCCTGAACTTCCACCCTTTTCTTTTTGAGACTCCTCATCTTCCTCATCCCATTTCACCTTTTCAATTGCTTGTGTTACACTGGCCAAAGCAAATTTAATAGGTGTCCTAGCACTGCTTTTTTCAATGTGAATTGGTTCCAATGTCACACTGACTTTTGGTAATGTACTGAGGTCCACCTCACTCTTTTTCTCTGTAGGTAATACAATCTGATCCACATCAACCCTGTCATCCACATCACTAAATCTGCTTTTCCTCTTTCTTTTTGTGGGCTTTTCCACGACTTCTTGCCTCTCTTGAACAATTTCAGCACTTGGTTTCTCCACTTCACTTTCACTTTGATTGGTGTCAGTCTTTGAGTTTTCACTTCCAGAGGAATCTTCTGTGCTGAGGGATGCTTTAGATCTTCTTCGAGTTGTCCTTTTGCTTGGTTCATTTGATTCATTTTCTGGTTCTTTTTCTGTTGAATTATATGATCTTCTTGACCTTCTTCTGGGTTGGGCTTCTTCAAGATCAAATGTACTTTTGACCATGTCTATGTTCAGCTTCTTTAGTTCTCTTTTTATTTTCTCCTCATTTGTATCTATTGTATCTGTGGATGTCCTACTCATTTCTTTATTACTCTCTGGATCTTTCACTTCTGATTCATCCACAGTTTTTAATTTCTGCTCCGTTTGAGATAACTCTAAGTCATCAGTACTCTTTCCAACATCAGATTTTTCACTAGGTTTGGGGGTATCTTTCTGTCTTTGATATTCTCCATCATGTTTCCCAGCAGTATCGGGTATGGTTACAGAAAAAGGATCACTAATGCTTTGGGATTTGTTGCTCTTAACAGGCATTTCATCAGGCATGGGAATGGAAGAAAGATCAGTAATGATAGGCTCAACTTGCTCTAGTTTCTTGACCTTCTGTATCGGAATTGATGATTCTTTTACTTGTTCTTTACTGACAACTTTCACTTGTTCTTTACTGTTATCTTTCACTTGTTCTTTACTGTTATCTTTTACTTTTTCTTTACTGGAATCTTTTACCTTTTCTTTACTCTTATCTTTTTCTTTTTCTGTACTGGTATCTTTTACTTGTTCTGTGCAGACTTTCTGCTGTTCATTACTGATCTCTTGCCCTGGTAGAGGTATGGCACCGATGTCCACACTGATCCGCTTCAGTTTTCTAGTGCCACCCTGTTCTGGTGAAGTCTGTTGTGAGTCCTCATCACTGTTAGATCTTTTGGATCTCCAGGATCTTCTCTTCACTTTTTTACTTTCTGGACTCATTTCTTTTTCTGGCAAAGATCCAGTATTTCTAGAATCCTCTTTTGCTTTTATTTTGTCATCTTCAACAGTCACATCTTCTGACTTTTCTTCGATATCTATACTTTCATTGCTGTAATTCAGGGGAGAACTTGAAGATTCAGCCTCCCTTTCCCTTTTCTTCTTCTCCTTAGCTAGCTTTTTGGCTTTCTTCTTGGCTTTCTTTGCTGCTTTTTTGGCCTTCTTTGACAACTTTTTATCCTTTTCTGAATCTACCGATTTACTTCTGGATCTAAATTCCCTTGCTGGTGATTTGCTGATAGAGTGTGTAGAAATTCTAGAAGGTGATGGTGACTTAGATAATTTAGCATGCTTTTCTGATTTCTTCTCATCAGGCTTTTGTTCATGCACCAGATTTTCACTGGATTCTGTTTTATCTCCCTTATCAGTGCCTTCGTCAATGTCCTTCTCCATAGAATCATCCAACTTGTTTTCAAGAGATGGCAATTCTTTTTTTACTGGCTTATTGATGTTCATTTTGAATGATATTGGAGCTCTCTCTTTAGGTACTTCTGGGGATGTTTCTCTCTGTTTATCTTCCTTTGGCTCTTTTTCTTGTCCTCTGTCTGGAGTCAATGACCTTGCATCTTTAGATATGTCTTTTATAGGGGAGTCTCTGTAGGAAGATTTATCTTTGCCTTTCCTTGATTTTCTCCTTGATGCCTTCTCTCCTCTGTCTTCATCAGATTGGTAGGATGATGGTGATACTGAGTTTCTTTTCTTTCTAGTGGACGATCTTTTTCTGTAATCAGGGGAGCTTGAATTCCTTCTTCTATGTGGAGAGACAGAGCTTTGCACGCTCCTTCTTGGTGATTCTCTTCTTCCTCTTCTGGAAGACATGGGTGACTCCGATTGTCTTCTGTTTGATTTTCCCCTCCTGTCAGACTTTGTATGTGCTGGAGAAGGACTCCTAGATCTCTCTGTAGAATTGGGTTTCTTTTTCTTCGTTTTCTCTGGTTTTGGAGAGATGGATCTACTTCTGTCATCTTTGTGTTTCCTAGCAGCATCCACAGACCTACTTCTTGATCTGCTTGAAGACTGATATGTTTTTTGCTTTTTCTTGGTTTTCTTTTTCTTTCCGCCAGCCCTTTCTGAAGATTTGCTTCGGGATCGGCTATATGAAGTTTTCCTGTGCTTGGGTGACAAGGATTTTTTCTTGTACCTTGGAGATACTGATCTGGCAGATTTATCTTTTCCTGAGTCCTGTGACCTACTTCTTGACCTATTTATAGATTTAGAGTGTGAAGAATATTTTTTGGTGGACTTTTTCTTTCTCCCATGTTCCTGATATGGATCTGCTGACCTACTTCTAGATCTATGTCTGGAAGTCTTAATCACAGATTTATCTTTCCTAGAATATCTACCCACAGAAGATGATCTGCTCCTTGACCTACTTTTATGTTTCAAGGATGACCTAGATTTTACATCATATTTCCTAGAAGTGTCTTTTGTGGAATCTATTGACCTGCTATCAGATTTTGAACGAGACCTATGTTTTCTGGGTGTTGTTGACTTTTTTCGTGATCTACTATCCACAGACCTGCTTCTAGACCGAGACTGAGAATGTTTTTTATGTTTAGGTGATTTGGACTTTTTAACAGATTTGATAGATTTCTCTTTAGATTTATCATCAGCAGAGTCATATGATCTACTCCTTGAGTGAGTACGCTGCTTAGAATCTCGATCAGTATGTGGCACTTCCTCATCACTATCCCATGAAAAACTGTCTTTTCCTTGAGGTGACATTTTCTCTAATTTTTCTTTTGTCTTCTCTTTTTTCTTTCTTTCAGGAGAATGAGAAGTTGATCTGTGTAACTTTTTCTTGGATTTCTTTTTCTTTGATTTTCTTGACGAAGTATCTTCGTCTCCACTCTCCTTGTGTGATTGTTCGTCTGCTACTGGACCAGACTGATTGTCTGTCTGTGTGTCAGAGGTTATGACCTCATCTTTGAGCCGGCTGCTTTGGTCTACCTGAGTTGATCCGTTGCTGGGACTAGGGGTATCCGTTGGTCGGCTGGGAGAGTAGTCCTCCGTAGGGTGACTGGGGGAGTATTCCATCCCGGTAGGTTTCTCTGGAGAGTACATCTGGGAATCACCTGAAAAATGATATGTTTATCATTACCTTTATAGCACGTAATGAATATCTTTCCTAATAAAATAATATTTTTTGTTTTCATTGTGATCATTTAGATACATAAAAAAATTAAAATGCATAAAGTTGTCACTAGCTGTCTGCCATACAGATTATAGATAGTTGTGTAATTCTTTTAAACTACACAGAGAATTGCGAAACTAGGAATATGCATTTAAATTTAAATTACTTTTGGAATATTTTGCAAAAGTTGTGATTTGCAGAAAAAAAATTGTTATAAAGTATTGTTATAAAAACTTGACTGCAGTTTGAAATATTGTTATGATTGTTTTTAAATATAGGAAATCTTATTACATTTTTTAAAAAATCCTACAGTACACAGAGTCCATGTAGTGGAATTAGAAAAACAGCAGAAGCATTTATCAGATGAAGACTTTCTAACAATGTACGAGGGGTTATCAAAAAGTTCGTGGACTAGCGTCATAAAATTAAAACCGCTTTAGGCACATCAATGAATTTTACAATATCTAGTTAGCATCATCTTTTCTATCTAAAGAATAAACCATAAATCATAAATTTTATTTTTTAATAAAGTAGTAATGTTTTTGTAAGCAATGGTATGTCCATGCGGCGCAACCTCGAAAACGACGTTTTTGCGACCTATGTGTAACTGAGAAAAACTCTTTTGATATGATCATTTGACAACCAAAAATCCCGTTAATTCAGGTATGTGTCGGGACACAATTGTTCCATAAAATATGAAATTTTCATTTCATTCTGGAAGTTTTATGAAATTTTATAGTAAATTTTACACGGAATTTCCAAACAAATGAGGCCTTGAAAATAACGTCAAAAGGGGGAGGGGTTTCCGTTTCCAATATTCTATAAAGTTTTGCCCCTAAAAAAAACTGGTATAGACATAAAATATGTTGAAACTGGCTACAGAGAAATAATATGCACCCAGAGTACTTGTCTTTTAATGTCAAAAAAGATTCAGAGAGAAAAGGGATACGCAGTTTAAGTCGATTTGCAGTCAAGGTGTGAAAAATCAATCACGTCAAAAAATGACGTTGATCATGCTTTGTAGATATTGGACTCCCAAAAGCAAAATATGCCTACACAATCAAGCGCTGATCTCTCCCAATGTATTAATCCATTTGGATTATTATATTCATTGAAGGCCACTGTTCATGACATTGTAAAGTCATATAAACAAGTCCTTACTCAGCTCCAGCGAATCTCATCAAAGAAGTATATGAGGTAGAAGAATCGGACATTGAAAAAAAAAAACAATGACGTTATCTGACGTCATGAAAATAAACGACGACAGCGCCGGGTGATCATATAATGTAGTTTATATTTTGTAATAATTTGGCAAATAATGAATGTATCAGGCTAAAATTTTCAACATTTCTTTATTTTTTGTTGTTTTATATTCCATATAAATTTTGAAAGCACAGACTACATAGTACCAATTTTATAGCCTCAGTCCACGAACTTTTTGATAACCCCTCGTATATATGTAGCAAAGCAAGACAAATTTGTTGACTCTTTCATAACTATAAGAAATCATATAATTGTACAAGTTTCCTGTACATTAACATTTTAACATGTTACAGAGCTGTATTTCATTGCTTTACATTGGAAACCATTCACTTGGCATTGAAATTAGATAACTTAAAAGTAGATGAGAAAAATAACAAATACGTTTATTTTGAAAGGTTTTTAAATGAGAAAGAATGCAAACTCCATCTAAATGACATTTTCATGTAAAAGGGAGAAATGCCATTAATAGAATTACAACTGAATGAAAACGGTAGTTCACAGGGACACCAATATTGTTAGATTTTATCTGCCATGATTCATCACTTTAGAACACCCTACATCACTGTTCTATTGATTTTCTCTCTATTATGGGCTGTAATTTGTGTCTGTGGCCTGTACATAATGTACCGAGATTAAATAATTGATTGACGAGACATTCTGACCAGAATTAACCCATTATACCTAGTGAACATGTGTTACCAATCTTCTTTTGACATAATGATGTTGAAATGCAAACTCTCCTTAAATACTAGTATGCTAAAAAAAATTAAAATTCCTACTTTTTAAATTTTCTTTGAGATGAGAGTCTAGAAGAGTTTGAAAATGTATGTACCAGGTTCAATAGAAAATTCCCTTCTCAAGGATACAATTCCAAGAATGAAGACAAGTACATGTAGCCTCATATAATTTGTGCATGGAAGTACATCAGAATAACCTATATTTTATGACCTGGGAGCTCACTGTATAAATCAAAACCATCCTACAGGATTGGAGAGATATTTCTAGTAATCCTAGTGCATCAAGGTCATCCTATACTACATAGGTACAACTTGTTTCAAGATGAATATATGACATATGAAGAAACTAACGTTTATCCTTTTTTATATTGCTTTTTGAAAATTAAAAAAATACTTTGATCACTGATATAGTTCAGAGTTATTAAAAGTTGATAAAAGGAAATTGGCTGGTAAGGGGTAACATAATGACGTACTTGTCATATTTTTATTTCCTGTCTGTTTTATTTATTACCTGTGAGTGCTGTCTTGGGTGATTCTGTGGGATGATCAGGGGAATACACCTCCGCATCTGTTACCATAGGAACAGCTGTGGGGGGTCCACTGGAGACGGAGGGGACACTCAATGACAATACATCAGCCTTCATCTCTGACCATCTGGATTTCTTCTTTCTATCAGGCAATGGGCTTCCCATGTCCTTTGACTTATCAACAGTTATAATTTTGACACTGTGAACTTTAGAAGTAAGAGTTTGACTAGAATTACAACTGTCAGTGTTTGGCAGAGGAGATAAAACATTCAGTGACTGAGGAGTTGTAATTTTCTGTGTTCCTTGATTGTCTGTTTCTGATAAACCTGAATTATGTTTAATACTTGTGAAACCTTGGTCAGATTCAGCACTCAAACTTGGAATGTCACTTTCCTTAATATCACTAACTTTACCCCCATCACTTTTTTCGGGTTTAGTTCTCTCTTCACTTTTTCTTATATTTTCTGGTTTAGTTCTCTCTTCACTTTTTCTTACACCCCTTTTGTCCTCACTGGACACTTGTTCATTAACACTGTCTGTTTTGGGACTTGAGGACACTTTTTTAATGTCTAGCTTATTCATGTCTTTTTCTATACTCTCACTCTTATCCCTTCTTCTTCGTATATCTTTCTCCTCGATCTGTTTCTCTCTCTCCTGTTCTCGCTGCTTGCGTCTTTCCTCTTTCCTTGCTTCTCTTTCTTGTTGTTCTTTGTAACGCATGTAGGAATCCCTCTGTTTTGGTGTCATTGTCTCAAGCATTAATGCCACTTTATCCTCTGCAGACGGTTTGTACAATTCTCTGGATCCACCCTTGTGTTTCGAACTGTCGTCTGCTTCACTTTTTTCAGTCTTCTGCAGAATGTTTCCCTTCTTTGTTCCAGATGCTCCCAGTTTGACATTGAACTGGACCTTCCCTGCATCTTGTTTTAATTGCTGCAAAAGGAATTTTGAGCTTGGTTTTAAAGTCTTTGGTTTTGATCCCTCTACCACAGATTCTGACACTTCTCCAGATTCTGTAGCCTCAGTTGCCTTCTTTTTCATTGCTATTTTCTCTAGGAGCATTTGAGCTGTTGTTTTCACTGGAGCTTTACTTTGTAAATTGTCTTTATTGTCCTCTATCTTTTCAGAATCAGTGTCTTTACTTTCCTGAACAGTGTCTATTAATGCACTAGCATCATCCTTATTTTCAAAATTACTATCTTCAAAATTATCTGGTTTTGCTTTATCCACTTTAGATTCAGATTGTTTATTATCACAGATTTCTTGTTTACTCTCCATTTCCAAGAGTTCAGCAGTTGGTGAGAGCCCCACTAGAGGAGTTGTTTCTACCACAAGAGCCTTTTCTCCAGAGGGCATTATGCACTCCGACACATTTTTCACTTCCTCTGGCTCAGCTGGGGATAATGCTGGCACATCCATGTCAATTAAAGCTTTCTTCTGTGGTATAGAAATGTCCATGTTAGAATCACTTATATCCTGTGTTATATTTGAGTCTGTAGGCATTGTGGAAGAAGATGGAGGCAGTGGAACATCTAATGGTGGCAGTGGAATATCAGATGCAGGTGGTTGAGGTTGAGGAAGAGGAACGGAGGATGGTAGGTGTGGTTCTGAGGGAGGTGGAGGTACAGGAATACTCAGTATCTCCTGACTTGGATCCAGTTGATTTTCTGCTGGTGTAGGTGGGGGTGGTGGATTTTGTTGACTTGGATCACTTATCTGTTGGTTTGCCATTGTTGCCATTTGTTTGTTTTTGTATTCCATTGCAGACTGAGCCCATGCTGCAGGGTCAGAAGGCATGGAACTTTGAGTTGGACCCTGAGGAATAACAGGCGGTACACCATAGTTTGGAGGTGGTGGCCCACCCTGAGCATAAAACTGTGAATAGTCATAACCATAAGAAGGATCATAGTATCCTGGTTGATAAGGTCCTTCCATACCATGATACTGGGGTGGTGGTGGTCCAAAAGGGGGTCCACCAGGGGGAGGCCCATGAAACGGTGGTGCTCCCCCTCTTCTGTAACCCCTCCTTCCCCTCCACCTCCCTCTGTAAGGACCTCTGCCTCTGAATCCACCCCTGTGTGGAGAAAAATCACCCTCTTCCATTGGAGGCATGACACCTTCCTCTGGGATGATTTCTGTGGGGGGATCCTCTGCTGCTCTCTCAGGTGGAACTTCCATAGGCCCAGGGTTTACCTGAGTTGTGGGAAACCCCATTGCTCCTGATTCTAGCATGTTCACTGGTGGAAACCCCATGGCCCCTGATTCCATTGCATTGATTACTGGCTCTGATTCAGAATACTCTGTGTCCATACTTTCTTCTGGATCCACATCATCTTGCTCAACTGCACTCCACCTTTTCTTTTTCTTCTTTTTTTTTTTTGCTTTTGTCTCTGGTAGAACTATTTTCTCTGTAAAATTCTGTAAAATGAAAATACACGTGTCATTTTAAACATATCTAAACCTTTTTTCTTAGTTTACAAACTTAGTTTTGAAATTCCCCCCCCCCCCCCTCCCCTAAATACTTTAACTGAATTTTGTTATTTTCTTTAAGATATTTAGCAAGATTAGAACAATTTAAATTACAATAAATTTGATTAGAAAGATATTTTTAAATGAATCTCTGAGTCAACTTTTCACTATGTTCCTTATACAGACATAAAGAATCTCAATTTTAAGGAAGTAGAATTTTGGGTCCCACTGACTTCCCTATAAAAAAGTTTTAATGAATTAAAATTATTGTAGATCACTATTTTTTGTGACACCTTATTTTCAGGAATCAGCTATTCGGCATTTATTAGGGAGACAAATTTTCGCACGCTGAGATATCTGTTGTACATAATCCTTTGTAATAATACAAATGTGTGTGAGTTTAAAATTTTTATGAGGAGACAGACTTGTGTATTAACACGAAAATTAAGTTCTTGCGAATAAAAAGTGATTTACAGTACTTTCATTACTTTTCATTAGGGATCATTGTAATTTTCAGTTGAAGGGAGTCCTTTCAAATATTAGATGCATTAGACCTCCAGAAAATGACGTGACAACAGAAACTTTGTGGCTCAAGACAGAATAGTGGATTTTTTGGTAAAAAAAAAAAAAAAAAAAAAGAAAAGTTAAGGCAGCTCAAGATCAATGTCTTTGGACAAGAGTCATGACTTGAACGTGAACAACAAAAATGGAAGCATTAGTCACTCTAATAAAAATACACAACCTAAGATTAATTTATGAGGTTTTTCTTGCAAGTTGTATGTTACATAAAGTTTTAGAATTCAGAGAATTTAAAACTAACTATAACAAAATTTGTTATAGTTAGTTTTAAATTTTCTGAATTCTAAAACTTTAATGTAACATGTACTTGCTAAATTTTTATTAAGCTTCCTAAAAAAGTGCACTAAAGGGGAGTTACTCCAGATAATGGTGATAAAACCTCTCATAATAGTGATAAGATCTCTTGGGTGAAATCTGTAAATCTGATAGCAGTAAGATATTACTATGACTGACTTAGTCTTGAATTAAAATTAAAAAGGTGTGTGTTTTCTGAAGACAGAACTTTTCAACTTAAAATGCAAGGTTCACTTGGAGCCTTTTTTGCCGATGTGAATTTCTGAAAAATCAAAAATTGACATTGCATTAAATACCTCTCCCATCATTAAGTGGGTTTATTAAACCTATCTCTTTGTTTAATTTGCCACCTTCTCATATTTGCCACCTTTTGAATTCAAATATAAACATTTTATCCATTTTTAAAAATGATTGCAAGGAAGTTATGTGCATTGTACATTAAAGAGAATAGGAGAAATTTTAATTTATAGGGATCATACTGTTCTCCAACATTTTGAATTATTCATGCATCTGTTTAATGTGAGCAATTTATCATCACGATTACAGTCTTTGAAAATGTTCATTATAAACCCATAGCTAAAATTCATACAATATAATTTATATTTCTGCATATGACTCCAAAATTGACTTCTCGATAGATTATATGTAAAAGTTTGCATGCAAATGATACATATATCATTTTTAAATAAATTAACTGCTCAAGCAACTTTGAATTGTCACAGAATGCTGTCAAAATTTTTGTTCATCAGGAATAAAAATGGCCACATGTATTGGAATTTAAAACATCAAATAATAAGGAAAGAATTGCATAAAAATATGTAATAAATTGTTGTTTTTTTTTTAAATAAAAATTTTATGATTTTTTAAAAATACAATTTACAGAAAGGTAGAACAAATTTTCTCTAGTTCATATCTCTAACTAAGATTTTAAGAAAATCTTAGTGGTTGTCTTATACATGTATCATTTTCCTTAAGGGTAATTTAAAATAAAAAATAATAGAAAATGCTGTCCATCTGGCAAACATCTCAAATCTCAATTTTCAAGAATTATTTAAACAATTAGATATTTTTTTCCTTTGTTAATTCCTCATCAAACTTGAATGAAAGCCAATTGCATAAATATTTTATACCTAAAGCATTCCATCCCAAGGAGTTATCTACTCCTGTCTTTCATAAGTCAAGTCCATGCAGCATGCACGTACCGTCCATGTTAAACTTGTTATAGAGTCCGTAAGTTAATATCATTTCATCTGCCATGTGACTTAAAGCCTTCAGGTGGCTTGACACATTTTTCTCTTTGAAGTTCCAAAAAAAATTCCAGGACATTCCCTAAGGTTAGGGTGAGGTCACAATTATATGGGATCAAAGTTTTACCGAGAAACATAAATGAAATATAATATAAAACTTGTAAAAAAAAATAACAAGAACAACAAAAACATGCTTATTAAGAGCAAATGTCCTACAATGTCTTACACTCTATGCATATCAATATGATCTGTATGCCATAAAAAACAATTACACAGGTTACAAGCTGTCTGCTTTAAAAAATTCCCCATGCATATGTGAATCCAAACAGACTGTCTGAAACCAGCATTTCATATGCCGATTCAATCCCTATAATTTTTTTTAAAAAAGACCTGGTTTAGAAATTAACTTTTTACACTCACATGCACAAATATGCATATATATTTATGCAATATTTATTATGAACCCTCTGCATGATTTAAATAATTTTTGTTTTCATGTACACCTTGTGGAAGGAAAATCCTGGAACATGTCTTCCCCCCTGAGTTGGATGTATGAATTTCAAGTGGCAGGTCGCCTTTGTTGTAAAACTAGGTCAGTAAACACACACTGCCAACCAGAGTTTAGGCAGGTTCAGAATTTACAAAGGCTATTTATAGATAAAATCCTTAGCACTGGGATCTAGATTTTAACTTCGTCTTATTCAAGATTGAGAATTTTTAACTATTTTTGTTTATTTTTAAATCCCAATATTTATATAGTACATGCAATATTTCATGAAAACTAGTAGCACTTACAAACCTTAATATATTCAGTTATGGCAGACATATTTTTTATATTTTCATTCAAAACGAAATGCCCTGTTTATTTGTTTTTATGCCACAAAGAATTATATTGTCCTCAATTAAAAATATATATATATATTAAAGGATTAAAACTTTAGTGTTCTCATGATTAAGTTTAAACTTTGTCAATTTGTTTACATTTACATTATTTTAGTAAATCTAAATTACACAGAGAAAATACATATAAAGAAAATATTTGAATAAGTAATCACTTGAAGAGACGTTTTTGTTTGTTTTATAGACTCTCTTGCTAGCTGATGCGAGTACACATCTATTCTCTAACCTGTGCATCCCCTCCTGCTCCCTCACACATTTTCTGGAGCCGTTTCTGGATGTCGGTCATCTCCGGGACAACAGGGGCGGGGTAGGAACATTCTCTGGGAGTGTCCTGACTTTCCATGATCCTACAATGTCATAAATATGGGTCATCATTTATTACTTAAATAGGAAAAAAACAATTATAGTTGAAGTATAATTTCTTATTTTGAAATAGTGTTTTTCTACATGAGAATTATCTAACAAACCTTGTTTCACATTACATTTGTAACACATTTCATGCTTTCATCACAGTGTTACATTTTGATTTTCTTTGACAATTTACCAAGTAGAAAACATTCACATTTCTTTTCCGAAGCTTTGCATAGGATTAATATACGTAATTTTAAAAGTTTTTTTTTCAAAACTTTTATGATCCTTTAATGATTCTTATCAAACAAAAGGTAAAAATTAACCATCAATAATTGTAACTTATGTCGCAATATTTCTGATTGAAATAAATTACTATCCACAGTGTATGTAGTATTATTACAAAATTCTTTTCAATACACAACAAAAAAAGCTTGTGGATGTCTACCAACTTGGTGAAATAGGTCATCCATATTGATTTTTTGTGCTTTGAGCAAACTATCACCATGGATACAAATGCTCTGTTCAAAGCTAAAATGAGGCTCTTAATCGGGCAGCAAGATGGTGCTGGTGTCTCCACATTTTCCTCATAGATAAATGTAGCATTTATAATACATCCTTTATATAGATGGTACATAAAATACATATCTCTCACTGTGTCCGTTTAACATATATGCATGAAATCTTTTTTGCATGCTGCATAATTATCTAACGTCATTATCATAAAATAATTTACTAGTATATAACTAGTATATAATAAGTAATATCATAAACTTCAATAATTACTTTTTTAATCCTTGAAAGGACATGTTTGCAAAATAATAATCTGGCCATAATAAAAATGATCAACAAAAAGACCATGGCTTCATTTAACGATCCACATGAGTAAATAATTATGATTTGTCAGATTCAACCCTCTAATCATGTAAAAATGTATGTCAGAGGATTGAAATGCTGGGTTAAAACAACTCAAAATGTGCAAAAAATTATCAAGATTGTGTACATAAAATTTGCCTGATTAAAGCCTTTATCATGGCTTAGTATTTAAAATTAAACAATTCTAAACATCAGCTGCTACTTTAGACATTAATATACAGTAAATAATGAAAATAATCAAAGCTCAGAAACCATCAGAAAGTTTGGGGGAAAAATTTTTACAAAATCATGCTCATCAATAAACTCAATACACTTGAATCTTTTCAAGATTTTTAAACTTTCAATTTTTGGGAAAAAAATGTTCAGCTTATTTTTCTTATGCCTAGCACGCCATTTTTCTAGGCATATCATATATGCACATATTTAAATGGAGGTGTAGCTAACAAAACTGTGTGTGCTAACTGGAGCAAATCAAGGCAATCCTCTATTTATACCCAAATACTTTTGAAGGAAAAATATTTTAATTGTTGGTTTACATTTCAAAGAAAGTGGCACCATAAAAAATTAATTTTATTTTTGATAAATATTTACTATATTTTCAGCTACATTTAATCATAAGCTACTTTATAAAATGCACATCAAGAACCACTTTGGCCACTACAATCAATACACAAATTATTCATTTCAATGTTTCCCAAAGAACATGAGTCTAAAAAAAATGTAGCAGTTGTTGTTGAAAAATTCTTCATAAGATTCCATGGCCTTCTGCCATTTTGATGTCCTTGAAAATGAACATGAAATTGAATGCTGTGAAAAACAACATTGATTGAATTATAATTTTATAATTAATGTAATCATTATTATTTTTTTTGTCAGTGACTGGGAAAATTTTTATTGAAATTTATAAATCTATATATCAATTCTTTTGAACAACTTTATCAAAAAAATTGTTTTGCTTGTAAACATTTTTTTTATATTTATTTTTATTTTTTAAATGTAACAAAAAAAGGAAAGAAAAAGAAAGATTTTTTTTTTTTAGTTTCATTTTGAAACACATTCACATTTTGTTGCCAGGAAAACATAATCTGATAATACAAATGTTTTAATAAAAAATGTATTCAAAATATCTTTTGTACACCATCTGTACACCTAAAAATAATTATAACTTGTATAAATAACAGATTTAGCAATGATGGAATGATGTTTCTATTCTTACAATATAATTAAAATGCATCATCACACCAGAAATCTTCAAATCTTAGTCTGTATATTTTTGCTTTGGATTTTCCTGTGAAATTAAATTGAAGAATTCAATTTACTAAATAAAGGTAAATATCAAACATCAGTGGTTTTCTTCGCAAAATTATATTATAGATCAAAGACATCAGAAGAAGAGGCTTTAAATGTTTCTGTATAGATACAGAATATTTGGCATAAAATTACTGTTTTTTTTCTCTCATCATGCTTAAACATCCTGTCTACTTTATGGATTAAGTAGCTTCAACATTTGTGTGAAATCTACCTACAGTAATGGCAAGACGAGCAAGTCAATGTTCTGTCAATAATCCAAACAAATAATATTCATATTAGCATGAAACAATCAATGTGAGTGTGTGTATGATAATATTTACACAACCTTACTTCAACATCTTACACACTTACGATTTGATAACTTGTACAACAGCTACTGTATGCAAGCTTTACTTTTCGACATCGCCGCTCTTTAGATGTTGATAAGCGTCCATTTGAAGGCGGTGATCACTGTGGGCTTTCTAAAATGGCTGGCTAAGACGCAATCATTCATGTAGTGTTGATATGGTTTTATACAGCCGATGAAAACGATTCTAGGTGTTTTTTCATGCTTTCAGACTTCTGTTCATACCTACAAAAGTATATATAAATATAACACATTGCACAATTTATTATTCCATGGTTTATTGGGATTGTATCTATCTAAATAGAACTATAAGCACAATACATACCCCACGAACATGTTTTCCTACAACCTTGCATTCAGAGCACGGCGAGGTAAGGAAAAGGTTACATCGAAAGATTTTGTGAGATCGCTTAGTTCCTCTGCTAGTATACTGTATAAAAATACTTGTCAGATTATAATAACGTAAACACCCCAGTCTCTTAGATAAAGTGCGAAATTAGTAGGAAAGAGCAGGTAATCGTGCTTACCTCTACCCCTAGTTCGCCTCAAGTTTATTTGGGGTCAAACTTTCATATCCGGGTCAATTCCAAATCAAAGCTAAAAATATTTTTTTGTTTTTCATTGTAAAAATATTGTTTGAAGATTTGAGAGTACTTATTAAAGAATGATCATGAGTATTCGTGGGTTTGTGTGTGTTAAAAAAAAATTAATAAAAATAATGACGTCATCAAATGGTGTGTATACAGAGCAAGCGGAAGTCAGGGAGATCCAAAATAGAAGTCAGTCAAAATCCACTGTCATCCTCCTAGATACACGACCAATTGTTCCCTTTTGACTTAATTCGTAAACACAAAAACGTTTTTATGACCACTATCGACAAATCGTTTGGTGCTTCTTTTGGTGAGTTGGCTGTATTTAAGTGATGAAGTTGCGTGATTTGGTGAAAGTGACAGACATAAACAATGTACATCAGCTGTTTGAAATCCGAACAGTTGTAATAAATATTGTAGTTATCCATAAGAAAAAATTAACACTTGCAGATAATATATTTTTTACTATAGAAATCTTGTTCCGAGTTTTTTTTTTGCGAATTTCTTTATCTGCGTAGAATGTTTGGCATTATGTTTCAATATAGACAGAGTTGTAGGTTGCAACTTGGGGATAATATTTATAACTTAAATATGATTGACATAGATCCGGAGATACAGCTGGACCATATATACTAAGTACTGTAAATATTTCAAATTGAAAGGCTGATAATTTAATTTTGATCTAGAATAGAAATCAATTATGTACATCAAAAGTAATGATGTCATAATTTGATTCAACATTATCTTTGAAAGATGTTCATTGAATGTTGGCAAACACAGCAAATCTTTTAGTTCACTTGAACTGTCAACTTTCCAATCTCAGCAAAATGTTGTAGGGACTAAACTGTTTGTCTGGTGACCCTTGAAATCTCAGTCCAGTGTCAAACAAACTGATTCGGGGTTTCTTGCCCCCGACTTCGACTGCTTGTTTCAATCAATACGGGCAGAAATGAATTAGCTGCTCACTTCAACTTTTTCCTTTGGACATCCTTTTAAGTCTCTATAACTATAAAACTTTCTTTTCTTACCTTTAAAAGGTTAAAATTCAACAAAATATAAAGTTGTTGATTTTCACAGATATATCCCATTTGTTTAAAGCAAAAAGAGCTGCATTTTTGAGAATTTTATTTTGCTGGTAAAATGTGTTATTATGATTAATCTGTATGTAATCTAAACCCTTATGATCAATAAAACCAAAATAAAGTTTAAAAATGTTTCAGAAGAAATATTTCTGCACAAGTGAATATACAGAATTATATATGAAATCATTATTGTACAGGACGACAATAATTCAATTTTTTCTTCAATCAAAGCGTATAAAAAGTTCTTTCATAGAAAATATGAACAACAGAAGTTTATAAATGTTCTGTTTTTCTGTCATTGAAATGGTTAATTACAAATTTTCTAAAATTTTTCCGATGTCAAACATGCAGCTCATATTGCTTTAAACCTCCGATGCTGAAGAGTTCCAGCAATAGTCTGCTTCAAATACTTTGTTCTACTACTGTTTCATATAAAAATGAACCATAGTTTGAAGTTTTTGAAGCAGACCTTGTTTTCTGCCATTTTTGGAACATTGTCATTTTAATGTGATAACAAATGCATATTGTTACCCATTGTGGTGAATGTTATCAATTTATCACTGTATTGTTACACATGTACTACCTCCATTGTTTATATATTAAGACACAATGAAGTAAAGCTTAATCATTAAATTAAAAACCATGTGAAACATGTGACTCTTTTATAGATCCATTCAAGGAAGCATCAACTGATGATGGTAATGCCGGTGTTCAAGAGAACTTAATTCACATCCGAATCCAGCAGAGAAATGGGAGGAAAACCCTGACAACAGTACAAGGAATTTCAACAGACTATGACCTGAAAAAAATTGTCAAGGCTTGTAAAAAGGTAAGTGTAAAAAATTATTTAATCAATTGATACAGCAGGAGAAAATATTTGTCAATGAAAGTTATCATGGAAATAATCTTAACGGATAACCCTTAACTGAAACTAATTAGATGTTAGAAAAGACTTTACCTGGTAATTATGTGTTTGCAAATTAATAAATAATGAAAAGACATGATTAAACATCAGTGCCTATAGAGGTCTTCAAGTGTTAAGTAGTTATTATTATATAAAAGTTCATAGCAAATGCAAACTAGTTGAATGTCAGAATGTGAATAATTGAGTGCTGTATTTGTAACATTCCAGGAATTTGCCTGTAATGGTACAGTGGTGGAACATCCAGAATATGGTGAGGTCATCCAGCTACAGGGAGATCAAAGAAATCGTATCCGAGACTTCCTTAGAGAAATTGGAATCGCGAGAGAGGAACAGCTCAAGGTATGTAGCCAAGCCTCTACTCTAGGGCGTGTTCAAATAAGGTGTAAAACTAAATGGAAAATAGTTTTTAGCTCACCTCGACGAAGTCGAGATGAGCTTATACTATACTGTCGGCGTCCCGGTTAAAGTTTTAGGAGCAGGTCCATTCCCAAGTAACTATAAGCCCTACCCGGACCAAACTTGCATGGATGATGCATCTAGGGATGGACACTACCAGACTTGCTTTGGATGCTGGATCTGACCTACATTTTCCAGATGAGTGACCAGCTTCAAGTTTTTGGAGCAGGTCCATTCCCCAGTAACTATAAGCCCTAACCGGACCAAACTTGCATGGATGATGCATCTAGGGATGGACACTACCAGACTTGCTTGGATGCTGGATCTGACCTACATTTTCCAGATGAGTGACCAGCTTCAAGTTTTTGGAGCAGGTCCATTCCCAAGTAACTATTAGCCCTACCCGGATCAAGGCTGATACATCTAGGGATGGACACTACCGGACTTGCTTCGGATGCTGGATCTGACCTACATTTTCCAGATTAGTGACTAGATTATTCCCAAGTAACTTCAAGCCCTACCTAGACCAAACTTGCATGGCTGATGCGTCTAAGGATGAATAATCAAAACTTGCTTCGGATGCTGGATCTGACCTACATTTTCCAAACGAGTGACCAGGTTAACGTTTTTGGAACAGATCAATCCCAATGAACTTTAAGACCTATTTAAACAGAATTTGCTTGAATATTGTTGTCAGAAAAAATACTAACTGTTAAGAAAATATGATTTGAGATTTACATTACTTAGACTGATTACATTCGTCGAGGTGAGCTTCGTAATCTTTGATTACCTATGTTTTTAAATCCCTTAAAACTAGGAATATGCCACAAAATCTGAAACATGGTGAAAATGTAAGTGTGCATTTCGTCTTTTACACATACAACATGCAAACTGCATTATTTTAATTTGTTCCTTATATTGTAATAAAAGTAATTCTGAAAGACTACTGTAGATTCCTAATTAATTCCGAGGAATTAATTATCGCGTAATTTCGCGAGAAGTATCATCTGCGAAATAAAAATACTTGCTTTTCTTTTTAAGGTGCAGAAATCCATGAAAATTCTCTTGATCAATCTTCCATTCGCGAATAATTATTCTCGTGATTTGACGTTCAAGAGCCATCTCACGATAAGTACTCGTGAAAAATAAGGAATCCACAGTATGTTTTACATGAAACTGGCTCTCTGTAGGGTTAGGACAGATGTAGTGTCATTTGTAGGTAGATCATGATGTCATTGTAATGTCCCCCAATTATCTTCAGGTTTGACTAAGATAGTAATGACATGTAAAACAATACTCAAGTTTATACACTCCCTTAATAGAGAGTTATATTGAAATATAATGTAAACTTGAAATTTTTCTTTCAGGTTCACGGTTTCTAGGTGAACATTCATCAAAATTGTTCTCAGCCTTCATCATCCTTCGTGTTTAGTGGACTTCATCTTGTTCCTCTGAAGATCTCTGAAGTACAAGTTGATACACAAATGTGTTTGAATGTTTTCATCATAGTGATGTTTAATAGTCCGTTTGCAGCTGACACTTGCAAAAATATTATTTATGTAGGACAGGTTACTCTTAAACAAAACAGGAAATCTGGTTGTATAATGTCCAAGACTATGTAGGGTTGAATTTTTATAACTGATCACTGTTTTCATTTCATGTACATATTTGCATAATTTCATGAATAAACATTTTTAATAATAAATGAAAGTGGTCTCCTCTCATGATTAGAAACATGAATCTTAATTATTTTGTTAATTTTGCCCTACTGCTTTTAGACTTACTGCAGGGCATTAAACCCCTTTCATGGCTTTGCCCAAAAATGCTTTATGGCAAGTTTAGTTGAAAGTGGCCCAGTGTTTTTGGAGAAAGTAAAAATGAAGTTTATAGATGGACAGATGCCAGCCAATTGGCTCAGGTGAGCTGCAAGTAATGTAGAAAACCAATATATTGTTTCTTGGTGGAACTAAATTTATTGCTTCATGATGGATATTAATTCAGGCATAAATATATGTACATTAGCTGGGTTGCTTGATTTTAAGTAGCTTACTACTGTAGGAATAGTAACTTTACAATTGCAGTGTCAACATTTTTGCAGCAATATCTTAAACCTGTAGAATATTCTGCTTCTCTTTATACCTTGTTTCTGTATAATAAAGTATTGTATGCCCTTGCGCCGAAGCGATTTTGTTGATGTTTCTTATAAACTTGTGTAGTAAAGGTTTTGTTTTTGTTTAGTTTAGCAGAATTCTCTAAGAATCAAGTACAGTTTAATTTGGGTATCTCAAACATAGATATCTAGAATACCATATAGGCCAAAGTGAATTTGAAGTCCCAACTACTTATTCTGTTAGTACCTATTTATACCCTGGATATCTCGGGTTATATCTGGGTTATCTGGAAGTTTTTTCTCTGTCCCTTTGAGATATTAACAAGGTTTGATTGTACTAAAATTTACTTTTTAACAGTTATGTCTATGCAAATGAATCCATAGAGGTTCCTGATTTGTAGATCTAGCTGAGGCATAAAAAATTGTGACGGCATACTGGCCATGGATTGTGCAACTCTGGTTAAAGCTAAACACGACTCGTAAATACATATGTGCCATACTAAATTTCCATAATATCAGCACTGTGGTAAATAAACACCTGATTGCTTTTAGTAAGAGTAAGTAGTATAAACATGCAAGTCAGGTTTAGGTTTCATTTCACTAAATGGGCTTTTGTGTTATTTCACTTTTCACACAATTGATATCGAATATATTTGGTAACTTTCTTTGCTGAAGCAAACAAGTCATTTTGTTGCACCCAAGTATAACATAATGATAATAAAGGAGATATCCTTTCAGGTGTAGTCCGTGAAGCAACATGAATTGAACTTTATACAAAACTGGGGCTTACATCTATATAGCGGCTTGTAATAATCTAATATGGCAGACAATGATAACTCTCTTCCTTTTATGAATCATATGTTCAGCTTTAAAACAAGCATATACAAGGATTTTTATGTCCAGCATAAGGACAGATTAAGTGGATGGAAATCCTTACAGAAAGCAGGAAAAAGGGATACAACTTTTCACCCATTCAATAGGGTTAAGAGAATTGTCATTTGTTGTTTCCGTTCACTAGTTTAATCTTTAGAGAACTAGTTATCATTGAATACTTTATGCTACATGCATTGATCTTGGCTTTTTGAGGTCCTGGGATCTACAATTTCAATATATTCATCATTTGACCTTGGCCTTTGAATCAGTGATCAGAATTGGTCTTCTGCAAGTCAAAATGTGATTCAAAATTCTACTGCAAAAGTGCAGAGGAATATATATTACATACATGTAATATATGTATTTGAGAAATGTTTATGCAATAACTGAATTTCTGACCTTGACAAAAAGCTTGGACCCATAATATACATGGGAATGTCTTCTTTAGGACACAAGATCTAAACCAGAACAAATTTTGTGTTATCATTCAGGAACTGAAGAGTCACAGAAAACAAAATTAATAATACCTCCCCCCCACCTTTTTAAGTAAAAAAAACAGGGTGATTCAACTGAAAACAACAAAGTCTGATGAGGATGCCTGTTTAATTCCATTGTACTTTTTTCATTGAAAATTCACAGTATTGTTACCCAAATACATTACAATCAATAAATTGAGTCTTTAATAGAATCTTTAAATTATCAGCTAAATGCTCTCTGTATAATTCAATGGTTTTGTTACAGTTGTATTTTAAAAGGTTTTGCAATTCTAAAATAATACTAAGTAATGCTTTTCTTAGAAATTATTAAAGTTGACAAATTCTGTTGGTTAAGACAAACTTGAATTAAAATTGCAGTCAAAACGGTACACTAAATGCAAAAATAAATACTTGACAAACATTTTTGTTGTATTTTGTCTATTCAATGAGATCATACATACAAAACTTGTACACGCTTTGACTCACCGAATACATGCAATGCACAGAAATGATCAAACAAAAATTGAAGAAGATAAATTTCTGAATACATGACAATCTAACATGATTTACACCTATATATGCTGGCGGCAAAAATATGTACAAGGAACAAAAAAATCACTTGATTGGAAGGGAAAGTCCACATTTCTTACAATTAGGAAATAAGCTGTCGAAAATCAAGCAAAAAAAAAATAATGTGGAACTGATAAAAATTATGACATTCAAATCCAAGTAATGGTTTATAATAAATAATAATAATATATATCCATATTTGCATACTTATATATGCACCCAAAACTGTACAGATTTCTGGTAAATGTGTTCTGTGGTTTGAATCACGTAATTTTGCAGCATTTGATTTTTACATCCAACATTAGGACATTTGGAAGCACACATCCTGTTTAAATCTTTTTAAAAAAAATTCTGAGGAGACTTACAAATAGCAAGTACCACAATTTTTTTCTCCTGAAAGAGACACATTAAATCTGGGCGTGATTTGTAAATAATTTAGATAAAGAAATGACTATTAGGATGTATGACAAATCTTTACGAAGATGACTCTCTACCCATGTCAATGATTGATCAAATCAGAAAGCAGGGAAAAAAACAAACTTCCACCCTCTTCAAGTCTTTTATCCAAATATGTACATACATTTCTCAATACTGCATATTTTCATTTTTCCAAATAAGACTACATGGACTTGTATGGCTGCACAATCAAAACAAGGTAAACATAGTGGAGTACAGGCACCATTACAGTACTGAGTTGGAATATTGTTAATTAATGAAGCTGGTCATTGCACCGATTTAATAATAATACGACTATTGAAATGATAACACTGAGGGGTAACATCTAGAATAATGCTGGACATGATGTCAAGTTATCCATGTAGTACTGATACCAACATTTATCCACAATTAAAGCCTTTATTAAACGTACCGTTATTCACAACCTTATTTATCCCCCTATTCCATATTTTGGGCCTTTCCACAAAAAAAAAAAAATCTGGCCTTCTTTCCTCCACACTGTTATAATAGCCTCACTTTGTCCCGTTTGTAAATACGTCTTTTAAACAACCAACATCACATTATTTACCAATGCCCTAAAAAAATCAGTATTGTAGGAGAAAGACAGAACATTATTTTTTTTTATCACTGACATTGGTTTGGGGAAGCATGAACACAACATGGGGATGTAGATGCCAAATTTGATTTTAGGATGTCAAACCAAACAAAAAATGGCACTATAAATAATAAATTTGTCAGCACCACTACACCTTAATACTTGGATATCCAATCCCTAAGAAACACCCTCATCCAATGGCATGGCATTACACTGGGTCAAATCCTACAAGGAGCCCCTATGAGATCAAAAGGGAATTAAAACACGGGCCAGAAAACCACAGCAGTGGTTAACTTTCACTCCTACAACAGAATGCATATCTCATCCCACAGAAATACAGTCAATACTGTAAGCCAACATAGATTCTCCTCTACTCCCTGTGAAATAGAGGGAACTTGTCTCCTTGTATTCGTTCCATATCCCATTAGGACTTTGTAAGAAAGGGAATGAACTCTCTCCTAAAACCATGGTTATGAAGTCAATGGAGTACAATTTCAGATATTTTTAAAACTGTTTGGATATACGCTTAATGATGTGTAATAAATTGCCATGACTTAGAAGTCAAATAAAGGGGGGAATTTTTAAAGCACTGAGGTTAGAATGTAACAAGAGCAGCCATTAAAATACAAGTGTATGTAAATATAACAAATGACTTAGTGAACATTCATCCACAAACTACATGTATGTATAATACATAAACATTCAAAACAATAATATGCTAGCAGATGCTCCAAAAAATTAGTTCTAGCTTCATCATGTTACCATCTTCACTCATGGATTTCATGTGTACAAAAGGATTTATAAAAGACGACCTTGTCAAACTTTTCTACATGATCTTACTGAATCTAATTCATAGGAAAAAAGCATTGTCCACTAGAAACAGTTTGGTATGACAATACCATTGTCAAACTTGACATTTGTCTATCGTCTTCAAAAATTCTTTTGTTGCAGCAACATCTATACAGCATAAAATCCTCACATTAACACACTGTCACATGTAAACATGATGAAATTAAAACAAAAAGTAATCAACCAATCACATACTCACAGACCCAACAAGTTTACACTCACCAATAAATGAAAAACAATGCAACAAGACATTCTATTATACAATACAATGCAAGCTTCAAGCAGACAAAAAAAAAAAAAATAGCAAAAGATTCATGCCAACTGCACATTACTTTATACATCAATTTACAGAGGGCACCTGAATATGTAAATTAATTATAATCATTACAACAAAGAACTCGGCACTTTTTTCTCTATTCAAAATCAAAAATCGCAAAAAAAAGTATTTTTTTTAAACATTTAGCATTCTGAGTGCTCTATTAAATTACATACAGAATTTATTTTTTTAATAAGAATAAGATCCATAGAATTGCTAGCTGGGAGGTTTTTTTTTTTAATTCTAAAAATTTAACATGCCCTCTGTCCAATCCTCTATACAACAACCCATAACTGTTAGCAACAAGAAACTTTCCACACATGTACACCTCTAATAGGTAATGAAAAAAATTGCATCATTTACATTATGACAAAATCCTGCCATAGTACAACTCATTTCAACATATACAACTATCTAGTTACAAGATTTCAAAATATATAGATTTAATGATTCTGTAATAATTACTTGCAACAATATTTTACAATACCCTGCCCTTAGTATTTAGGATATGTACATCCTATGTTATTGTGAAGTTATCCAATATGTAGACCGTTCTTCAATGTCTGGTTTCTTCTTCATAAATTCAGACAAGAACTGATTAAGGAGATCACTAACAATAATAAAACACAGGCATTATAACAATGTGGCAAAACAGTTAGGCTCAGCTGATTAACTGAATTAAAATACATTGTGGGGGGGGGCACCAGTCTTGTGTGATATATATTTATGGAGGTTTTCACCTCAGGATTTTTATCTGTTTTATATTGAGAGAAAAAAAATTAACAGCTTGCAGAAACAAAATAATCCAACACCAAAAAGACAAAAGAATGAATGATTGAATGCTGGTTAACAGTTGAAGGAATAACGATCAACAGCAAGGTATCACCACTTAGTGAAAACGTCCTCTAACAATGTGCACTGCAGTACCTTCACATCCCAAGGGACTACTTTCCACTAATATGCTTTATATACAGCTTCTTAAAACAAGATTTCCCGGTAATACATTACCAGGTATTCGCATTATTTACCAATCTGCTAAGCCTTCTAGCAGTTTTGATTACATTTTTTTTTAATATTAAAAGGAACATGAGCATAATTTAATTTGTTGAGGTAAAAAATCTCAATAGCAAAGAAAAATAAAAATTTCTCGGAATTTTCTGAATTTCTAGAGTAAGTTTTCTTTCTTCAGTAAAATTAGATTATATCTTAATTCATTTCAAAAATTTTAAGCACTATATCAATTTCATAATAAAATTTATGAGAGAGCAATAAATAATAAGCAGTAAGTGGAAAGAGAAAGTGTAAATGGATTTTCTGCTCTGCATGTCTCAAGACTAATCAATCCAAGTGGGATCTCTATACATAATCCGTGCCTTTTTCCTTCACAAATTTCTCTTTAGAACTTTTTTCTCCCTTTTGAAAACTTTGGCAATATCCAGTAAGCAGTTTCTTATAAATCCTTTCTGTCTTTAAGTAAGGCTCAGTTTCTGAGCCTGTCTCATTTTGTAGATAATCGGGCAGACTCGCGCTCACTTCTACGCCTGTCCCTCCTCTCACGGTTTTCCTTGGAGCGGCGGCCACTGAAATGGCGCTGTTCCTTAGGGAGCTCGGAGTCTTTACGGGGGCCTGTTTGGTCTTTCTTGGCAGTGGAGGTCTTGGCCTGTGACTGTTCCTTCAGCGTATTCTGCTGTACACTCTCTGATTCAGAGTCTGAATTATTTTTCGATTCTGGGGCCGAATCACTATCACGACCACGCTGCACCATTTGAGCATAGGAAAGTTTGACGGGTGAATTGTTATCAACAGAAACCTGCTAAAATATCAAAATATAACACTAAGTAGTGAAATACAAAAAATTCTGAAATAAACGGAATCATCAAATGCTCCTATATGAAAGTCCAATTTTAAACATAATTTTATTCCCTGTAATATAATGCCAGGGTTTGACATTAAGCATTTGGAATACTAGACCAGTCGGGCTAGTCTGGCAAATTTTTACTAGCCCTGACCCTTTAACCACTAGCCCTGACCAAACATGAGAAAAAAAAATATTTGAAGTACAAAATAGTGATAATTCTTTTTTCTGCGCAGATGATGAGAATAGATAATTAAATAACGACATTTCCCCGCAAACAAGTCACATCGAAACTTGGTCATACACTAGTACATGAGGCTTGTCGTGTTTAGTCTTAATTTAATTAACTTGTACACAGTTAATATTAATATTGATACCATTAAAGATGTACAGAGAATTTAATTATACATGTAATAAAAATAATTTTATTATTCTAGTTTTATTGCTATTTACATGGCCTACCAATGTCGTAAACGAATTACAATCGTAACAAAAAATTGTACTCAGCCATTTCTGTGAACGATAAATACCTTATTGTTTCTCTCGAGTAAAACGACCGAGTAGTTACGAATGCCGACAATGAACTGTTGCTAAAAATAGCGCTTCACTGCCTTCAGTCATGCTGTCTGTACTACTTTCTACTATGCCTTTAGAATTATTTTATTTTTTTCATTGGCAATAAATGGTTTGTTTAAAAATATATAATAAGTTCATTTATTTTTCTTAGACGACCAGTCGGTCTAGTACACAGACATTTTAACCGACCGGACCCATCTTTTACTAGACTCAGTCGGTCGGACGTGCCTTAGTGTCAAACCCTGTATGCTTACAATTTTAAAAAAAAAAATCTATTTCTTAACAGTGTAATAGTATGATAACTTACTGCTTTAACTTGGTTGACAGGAGCTGATTTGGGAACAGTTGTGGCGTGCACATCAACATGATTTACAACAGGTTCCTGTATACTACTAGATTTCTGTGGTCTGTGGGAACAAGAAAAGAAATAAATACGCTTACCAACATCTGTCAACAGTTTTACCAGTAAAGTACTGGTAAACTTCAGAGTCCTTCAAAATTGCCATAAATTAAAGTTTTATAATTTTTGTTCATTTCCATAAAATCAATCACTGACACCTTAACTGTGAATTATTGAGACATAATGATGTGAATTGAAAATGCTCTTCTCAAGGATATCAAATAAATATCAAAGGTATTGGGACTCAATGATTTCTTGAATATCAACTTTCTCATTGATTTCATTCTGAGACAATGTCTACAAGCACCAATGCTCACCAGCTTTACACAGCTAATATTGACATTCTGAGTATAATTATTATATTCCATTCTCAACAGATTTCTACATACATTTACTCCATCAATAAAATTTATCACAAATTCTCTGCATCAACTTTGTTTAAACCTTATAATCAAGCTTGTATGATCACAGTAGCTTTACAAAGTCATTATTTTAACCTCATGTTAAAAAAATCTTGCTACATCAAATATTTCGTAAAACATACTTTTTATTACAAAAAATTGCAAATTACAGCACTTACTTTTGGGGGGAGACAGCAGGAGGTGAGGGTATCCTTGGAGGTGGTGCACTGTTGCCTCCGGAGGAACTAGTAGAGGCTACAACAGAAGTGGGGGCGGGACCAGCACTTGCCCCATTTAATGCACTATTATTAGAATTATTGCTAGAATTGTCTTTTGGTGGTTGTGAGGGAGGCGTTGGGGGCCTGGGGTTGGCAGGGACTCCGACAGGCTCCGAGTGCTGTGATTGGCTACTTTGTTGAACGGGTTGCGATACTTGTGGTTTTATTACATTTTCTCGCACTATGGGTTTTGCAGTACCTTTCACAACATCTGATAATTTGCTTTCAAACACTTCATTATTAGAAGATGAGGAATTCTGTAAAAATAGAAAGATATTTGTTTTAAATGCTCAATCAAGAGGTGACATTCATTTATTCCACAAATCACCATTTAAAGTGACAGAGAATGTCTTCTTTTGATTATAGAGGATAGAACATTATAAAGATTTATGAAGTTCCAATGCCCATATTTGGGCTACCATGCAACAATTGTAGAGACATGACTGCCTCGTTCTTGCTTATCTTAACAATTTCCTTATGTTTTCATACTTACTGCTGGCACTGGGCCTGGTAATGGAGGGAATGAGTTTATTTCAAGATCAAACTGAGTCTCTGCTGCTGGTTTCTCTCTGGATGGCAGCTGTCTCTGTAGATAAGCAGTAACAATGTTAACAAAAAAAGACGTATTGATGAAAAAAAAATTGAATATTAAATACTTTTCTCCAGAAAAAAGACCTAGAGAAGACTTGTTTTTAGACTTACTCTTGGACCTCCATCTTCTTCACGTCTACGTCGACTTCTGTAGCCCCTGTAAAACAGCACTTATACAGTCAGTGTCAGCTTCAAGTGATAGGAAATACTGAACAAATTTCAATTCAATCCTAACCTCCTATAAACTCTTGATGCAATCAGCATTACACATACTGAACCAAGCCATAATTAGCTAACTAATAAGTTGTAAGTTTAAGTGAATATTGCTAGACATGAGTAATACTTGATTCAGCGGAATTAATGTTAACAAACCTTTGAACAGGTGGAAGTCCGTCTGATTGTCGACTAGAGATACTGGAATTATTGGTGTCTACGTTATTGTGCCCTTGCTGTTGCATGCTTGAGCTGTGTGAATGATTATTGTTCTCTCCGCGGTTTCGGCTGGAGTATTGAGCCGGTGACATCTGAGAGTTGTCGTGGTGTCTTGGACTAGTTCGGTTGTGGTTGATAGAGTTATTCCTCTCATAGTTCGGTCGGTTGTCCATCCTCTCTTGGTTACTGGGTCGATTTGGTCGACCATTATTTCTATTTGGAAACAAAATAAATCAGGTAAATGTCAGAATATAACTTTTAAAAAAAAAATCTCTTCCTTTCAAAAATTCTTTTATTGCATCAACTGATTTTGCCATATCTTATGTGATTTGAATAAGACTCATTTTCTGATCACTCTCAAATACAACTGAATTCAGTTTGTAGTACTTAGGTTAAATAACAGCAAAACAACTTCCATTTTTTACTGTCCTTACATCATAACATTTGCCTCTATCAGTGAGTTTGTGCTTACAACCCTAATAAATTGCTTCGTTTCTTAGTTCTACTTAGAAAACTAAGTAAACAAGTAGACAGACAACTTTTTCCTTCTCTAAAAATCTTCCATAATGTGAGGTATAAAATAATTTTTTGAAAATCTGTAATTTTGATATACTGCTCAAAACTTCTCATCCCCTTTTCCTCCTTAATTGTGGCTTCCTAGTCAGTTCTCTAAAAATTCCAATTTCCTTATCTTTTAAAAAAATCCATTTGTTTACTTTGCTGCCCATCCCAGAAACTGCACCCTAGTTGAGATTTGCAGATCATGATGCAGCTCTTTTATTTTTATTAGCTTGTTGCTAGATTCTCTTACTGTATTATCTCTGTTTAAATCTTATTATGTACCAGCTGCAGCCATTACCTGTTTCTATTCATGTTGCTGTACTGATGCCTGGGGGCGGTGGTGTTCAGTTTGATGGAGGTGGGCTGGTAACCATTCATAGCCAGCACCTGCAGTAGAGATTCATTCTGTGGGAATGTAGTAACACATAGTTCAACATACATAGCAAAAGCATGGATAGTCAAAAAGCAGCAAAAGGCAAAATAAACCACCAATATTATGTTCACATCACCATTTACAAAACATGCAGTAAATTCATCCCTGGGATATAAAAACATAAAATTTTACGAGGAAAACACCATTTTCTCTTTTTATACAACAAAATGAGACATATAATAAATCAAACAGCACGAGTATTACTTAATGGCTTATAGGCGAGACTGCACCAGGGACCACGAACAATACAATGCAAGGACGGAGAACCCCAAGTTACCAATACAATGTCTGTACAGATTTGAAGACTAGACAATATTAAATCTGCAATAGGCCTTTACCCATACAACCTGCAGGTAGTGTCTTATATGGGGAGAGATTTAGACAAAACTTGTAACACTAAGTGGGTGGATAGTTACCATGCTGGGGTCCAGCAGAGTCGGACTAGTGGGCCATTGAGAGAGGAGTGGATTTGGTGCAAAGAATGGAAGCTGAAAAATAGAAAACACATTTATTAGCAATGAAGAAACTTTTGCTTAGATTTCACAGCAAAAACTTACAAACAACAATGTTACACTATATGTAAATCAATTTTCAGAATTTCATTTACTGTAAATCACTTTTTACTCGAGAACTTTTTCGCGTAATTATGTTAGTTTCCTCATGAAAATTTCATTCTCACATCATATAACATTCCTTAAGATTATGAAGAGCAACCAGAAGTCTCTGATGCGACTCTAGCTCTACTGGTCTGTAGTAGCACTTGCATTTTAAACTTTGTTACAGGCAGCAATAAATAGAATTATGTATCGTAATGTAGTTTACTTGTGTGCCAAGTTAAATTGAAATCAAACCAAAACTGTATAAAGAGTAGCATTTTGAAAGTATTTCAAAGAAATTTCTATTTTTAGTTACCATGACAACATTCACTGAAAACAAAATATATACACTATTGTGCATCATAGTGTAGTCTAATTGTGTGCCAAATAAGATTAAAATCAAACCAAAACTGTAGAAGAAATAAGGTTTCAAAGGAATTTCAAGAAAAAATTATTTTTAGTAACCATGGCAACACTTTTCAATGAAATCAAAGACTGATGCATTACATTATGTATCTTAATGCAGTCTACTTGCAGTCTAATTTGTGTGCCAAATTATATTTAAATCAGACCAAAGCTGCAGGAGGAATAACATTTCAAAGGAATTTCAACAAAAATTTTATTCTAAGTAACCATGGCAACACTTTTCAATGAAATCAAAGACCAATACACTAAATTATCGATCTTAATGTATTCTACTTGTGTGCAGGCTTTTAAATCAGACCAAAGCTGTTTGAGGAGTAGCCTTTTAAAGACCCAAGACCCAGTTATTTTCTAGTGAAGAGTGCCTTACCGGATGTCCATTGATGTACTGGGGCACGCTGGACATGAGGGGGACAGAGGCCTGCTGGGTAGAGAAGGGTTGGCTTGTCATGGTTGCCACAGTAGCCTGCGACTCTGATGGACTTGTTGGCTGTACAACCTGCTGCATGGCCTGGGCATTTACCTACACAGGAAATAGGACATTCTATAATTGTTTTAAATTTTGATAATTTTACCACAGAACTTGCATTAACCCCTATTTTATTCTGAAATGTAAGAAGTTATTGAAATTTCTTTTCATTTCAAAGCCAAAGCTTAAACTGATAATGTTGAGCTCTAGACCCACAAATCCTTTTCCGCTTCCTTGATTTCTGATGTATGTATCATTGTTCTTTAAAAAATGTTCAATTTCTTAAGTACTTATAACTAAACATTACTGAAAGACTAAAATATCTACATTGAACCTCTAAGATGAAAATAACAGTATATAGGTAAGACAGGTGTATACAGGTGCCCTTTACCTGTGCCTGTTGTTGCTGTTGTAACTGCTGATAACGACTCTTGTACCCGTTACTGGAGTACGTCATTCTGATCAATGGCTTAGCTTTTATTCTGGCCTGTAAAAATATATATCGGTTAAATATATGAGGACATATATGTGAATGACTGCTGTATCACACAAGCTCATCACACAAAACATTAAACCTTGCTTTTCTGAGACTTTACTAGTTTAATGTGGCTAAAAGTTATATGACACTCAAGATTAAATATATTTTTGAGAAATGTATGAAATTCTGCAAATAAAAATATTATATGTATGTGAATGACCCCTATTTTTGCAGATAATGATAGTAGAGATCAGTGTGCCAAAAAAGAATATCGACTGTTGTGAGCTTCAATTGGTTGTGGACTCTAAATGTGTTCCTCTAATTTTGCCAATTACTGGACTTTTACTTCCTATTAATAATGCTACTTTTACTTAAGATACACAGCTTGCAACATCATATATGCCAGTATGATGTCATATCAGAATACATGTTTGAGTGAAAACATGATATGTTACCTTTTTCCCCCAAACATAAACATATCTGTGTTGGATAATTTGGTTTGTAATTATAAACATTCATCTTAATCACCAATCCATTACTATTTCCCCAAACCCCTCCCCTTTCTTAATGACATACACACAATGTATACAACTTTTCACAAAAAGGAGGCTTTTTTCCCAGTAAAGTTCTTCCTTATGTAATTCAACACCAGTGGAATTTGTTGAATTAGAAAAAAAGAATCACTTTTAACTGGCCTGTTAAGAAACATTGTAATCGATTTCATGAAACGGATAGTGGCCATTCAATCTCTATTTATCTTCTGGTCGTAAATACCTTTGAAGTGTATAAATAGATTCATTCTCCCATTAAATACAAGCCAACAAGTTGGACGACCTTTTGTCTTGGCCATATAAAAACAATTAAGATCACACAGACTAGAAAAGTGTCACGTACACTGGTATGTCTGTCACAAAGTACAACACCAATATCGCTGACAATTTTTGTACACATGATACTTTCTAACACAACCTTTCTACTACTGTCTATCAATTATCGTCCGGAAAAAAAAAATGTTGGAAAGAGCATTGCTCTTTGGAATAAACAAAAAAAATGTATATTTAAATGTTAATTATTGTCAAGATAATCACCAAGATCACAGTCTAATTTCAAATTTAACTGATAGATTACGAATATGAAAGGCATCAAAAAAAGAGAGAAACTTCCTGACAAGTCTGTAACAATATAGTCCATACACACAGCACCTGTTATATTAGTCACAGTAATATGGCCTCTGGGTAATCATATATATTATATATGTACAAAAAGTTTTGCAAGTTAGTAACCCAAACACAAGGTCACATAAAATCTACAAGGTTGGTTAATAGCCTTTGTTTTTAACACACCTGACAAAAAACCTATCTGAAACTATTCCACTTCTTCCCTGTGTTACATTAGAAATGTTTACTGTTTGGCCATGAAATCAGGGACATTAAATGAGTAATGTTAATAGTGGCTGATGTAAAGAAAAAAAAGATGTCCCACTAAAAATGCACCTTCAGTACAACCACGTCAAGCAGCACATACAGTGAGAAGTCGTACTAAGTCTTATTTTCTCGACAACAGTCAAACAGGAGAATTAAAGTAATGGCTTATTATTCCTACCAGCAAAAAGAAAAAAAAACAACCTTGAAATCATTTTTTTTTCAAATGAAATCCTCACCATGATGGGTTTTCCCTGAAAATTTCGGACCTCCTCTCTCAGATACTGATAGGCTCGCTGAGCATCTGTGTCAGAGTCGAACGTCACGTACCAATTATTGTTGTGGGCAAACTCACAACTCACAAATTTGGGACAATTTTCGCCAGCAAATAATCCTTGAACCTCCTAAGAAAAAATTTAAACTTCTTTACTGGCATGCATTTTACTAATAAAAATTACTTAGTAATAAATAAGACCCCAAGTTCAAATATGCATTAAATTCCTATCCAGTAACTTCAAAAGTCTGACACCTCCTATTAAGCAATTTTAATTTATTTTTTTTTAATAAATTAACAATACTCTTTATAACCACATTTGTTTATAAATCTAACTTTCACGTTTACCTCAACTGGTGTACTTTCAGGGATTTCCCGAAGAATGACGATACATCGGTTTAGGTTTGGACGCACTTTTTCTCCTTTCTCATCAACTTGAACACTTGCACATTCTAAAACAATAAACAAATATTATGAATCACAATCTTTTTTAGCATTCTAAAAGTTAAACAGTTTAACATGCTCAAAGCAAGTGATAATTAATTTTGATCTGTTTGAAATGTAATTTGTTCTATATGATAAGTGGTTTAAAGCATATTACGAAATATGCTTTAAATTATATGAAATTAAAATCACTTCATTACACAAGTGAATTCTATTATAAAACTGTTCATTTTATCATATTTTACAGTGATATTCTAATTATCCATAAATGGCATTTGCAGTTTCAGATATTACCTTGATTTTTATCAATATTTTTATTATCTAGAGCTGATAAGAAATTCTTTTAAAGACACAACAGAATAAAGTGCCCCGCCACAGCATGATACGCCCGTCAAATATATTGTTAAATAATCATAAATTGGTTAAGGTGCAAGAAAATCAGATAACCTTGATTAACAGATTGACGCAGATTTCAATGATCTAGTTTCCATTTTTTATCATGTTTAAAATATTGTACATACATCTCTAAAAGACTTACAGTGTAGGGATTAATTATAACAAATAATACATCATATAATTCTAAACTGGCTGTGTTAGAACTTAACAAATATCCATCTGCAGCTTTAAATTGTTTATTGCATATTTTATGGAATAATGGAAATGCTATAATAAAAAAATCAAAAATAAATTATTCTTTAGACTATAAAATTTTTACTGCAATTTGTTGCAAATATATAAAAATTGAAATGTAATTTTTTTCAATGAACACATGTATAATCAGTTTTAATTATACTATACAATACTAATTTAGTTTTAATCATACACTAAAACATCAATTTGTTTTAATTACATTACACATACACAGACTACCAGTTAGCTTGACAATTCATTAATTTCTCTCTAATTTGACATGCGAATTTCTGCTATTAAAATTCTTCTTGACCAGTGCTTGATAATTATGCCCATGGGACAAACTGAATTCCTCTCAAAACATTAACATTTGTTACAATGCTGTTAAAGTATATAATGAGTTTTTACTTGATTCAACATTTTTTAATAAGGTTTACTTTTAATTATATTTCCATACACTGTATAAAGCATCAATTTGTTTTAATTACATTACACCAATGTCATCAAGAACTCTTTATTAACACAAGCAACTATGAGGCCATTGTAGATGCACCTAATGACAATAAACTCATTAATTTCTCTCATTTGACATGCAAATTTCTGATAAATGTGATTCCTCTCAAAACCATTTGTTATTCAGAAAAAATAGTTTTTATTATTAACATTTTTAAATAAGGATACAACTATATTTTTACATTTTTTAGGAATATGAAATTTAAAATTTTAAAGACTTAGTTTTTTTAAAAAAAAATCACTTAAATTAAAGGTCACAGTGACCTTGAAATGACACACCCTACCTAAGATGTATAATTTTGCCAAGTTTGAAAGCCTAGGTCTAACAGTTTTCAGACAGGATCCATATTTGGCCATAGAATCAATGCGCGACACAACTCAACTGTCAAAGTTTGATTAGTCGTTATTGACTTATTCAGACCATAAACAATAAAAGTCAAGGATCTTCAATACATTCTAATGGGGACCCCTCTCTCCAGTAGCCAGTATGTCAACCATGGGTCAGAATCAAAGTGTCTTCTTCTTCTACTGTGTCCCATTAAAACTCAATAACAGCTGAACCAGGCATTGCAGTCATTTCTCTCACCTTGTCAGAATAAGGTCAGCTGTATTGAGATAATACACTGACAGATATAGGGCCATGGACACATGCTAATGTAATAGTGATGGTAAGGGAAGTCAGATAGGTACAAGTTTATCTCATGTTACGGCCCTACTACTGGTAAAGTTGGTAAACATAAACTCTATAAGATTAGGCAGATAACCCCGACAAAGAGTATGTCAGGACAAACTTCTTAAGATACACAAGTATTTCACTTATTAAATTACCTACAAGGGAATGTTTGGACCCATTTCTCTCCCTGAATCAATGGAACAATTTCTGACATTTACAAAGGTGAATGAAAGTTGATGTGGATGTCAGAAATTTCAATCCTAATGGTGTCTTTATATTGATCCCTGCATTGGTTCACGTAATTGTAATATTTCTCCAGAAATATCCTGTAAATTACTTAACAGTGACCCCAGGGATTCCATTAATGTTGTAAATACATAAATAGCTGCTATCATGAGCCAATGACATGGCCTCCCTCCTCTCCCACACAAAAATAGTAAACAACTGTCCCATCTCAATGTCCAGATCACACTGTCGATTCATAAAAACAATACATCAATCAACTTAACTACACATTTAGTCCACTCAGATTTCAGCCGAACATTTCTATTACATTTGATCTTAGGATGCTAACTATGCTTTTTGCCCTTTTGTTTCCTGTTTGGGGATTTCATTTGCCCTCAAAAACTAACAGAATACCAATTAATCATTACCTCCAAGCACGCAAATATCACTACTTTCCAAGTCTTGTGTCCTTGAATGCCTACTTGGGACCCTATATATCCCACAACTTCATTTATCATAACCTCAGAGTCATTACCATTTCCTAGCATTACTGGCATGATTTCTTGTGCTTCTAACACAACAGAATTGAACATACAACCTTGGATATTGCGATTTGAGAAGTACTTCATCATGGTGTCCTTAGTGGTCAATCAATTTCTATAAATTCTATTCAATGTTAAGCCTCTTTACAATTTATATTTCTAAGCAATGGCCCAAGTTTTTATCACCACAGTCCACTGATGTTTCAGCTGACGTCAATGATAAGTTCCTGTATCATATAGACTAGTATGTCAGGCAGGGGAAAATGCCAGCAAGACTTGGACTCCGACCCGGGACTTTCTGCTGTAGCTGCATGAGCTCTACCACTGAGCTACCCGGCTGACAGACCCTGTCCATGTTACACTACGCTACCACTATTGAGACTTACCCCGAAGCAGTTGTACAATGAGTTGTAAGTCAGAGGTTAGTTCCTGTATCTGATCCAGACTAGCTATGGTTGAGATGGGAACATACTGATCCGAATCCATCTGGGACTGTAGATATGTATCACTGGACAAGCTATCCCTAAAAGTAAAATTACACATATTAGCATTGCCATACAAAAAGGGGGGAAAATATTACTTAATAATCTATGCCATTTAAAATTTAGTTTATCTGGATGTTATCTAGACATTATATGCTCCTCAGTGGTCATGTGCATACTAACACCTGTCATATACTACAGAATCATCATTGTTTGTGGCCAACAAACAATAACCCCGTCAAATTATCAATTCCTCGAGACTTTTGTCTTCAAGTCGTCAGGAGTTAACCACAAAATTATGTCCCCTCAAACCAGAAAAATTTTGTTTACATTAAAACATATATTGTTGCAATGAGCTGCATCACTGAACACATAGCAAACAAGGTACTAAATACAATGTATGAATCTTTTTACATGTTTTAAGTACACACACTATTAAAATGGTCAAATTTATCAAATTGTCTACAGAGCTTCTGAATGAAAAAAAGGTGGATTTTTTAAATTAAGGAAATGGATAACAGCTGGAATATTTTATGAATACACAAGGAGTCATCAAAAATGCAGTGTTGTCTTTATGACTCTGTAGTTTTTAATCTGGACTCAAGATACTGCTGGGTTGACGTACACCTCCTTATATAGGAAAATTTGTTTTAGGATAATGTGCTTTTTGTAATCAATGAAATTGATTGTTATTGTTAACTGTCAAATAAATGACAAAAACAAAGCCACTAATCATGGTACAAAAGAAGATTAGCTTTATCAATCTGCTTTAGGGCTTATGACTATTTTCAGACTGGATGTACAGCATACATGTACAGTAATGTTTACATTGTCAACCCTGCCATAAACAACCCTCACCAGGAAGCAATACACACATCAGAGAGTACAAACACCTCACACACTGACACACTGCATACCTGGAGAAACAGTTTTCCAGCTGTGTTTTAAGCAGTTGTCTGAGGCTGTCTTCATCCATACTGCCATCAGTAATAATCCCTTCATCTTCCGCAACTATGAAAAAAAAAATCGAATTAAATATTTTCTTTTACATCAGTGATAATCCCTTCATCCTCTATTTAATTCCAACCTTCTTTCTCTTTACTCTGTTCAGTTTTAGAGTTTGACAAATCAAATATCCTGTATTAATTACAATTCATTAATACTTTTCACAAAAAGAAACAATTTTTTTTTTTTAACTAAAAGATCAATTTTCTGAAATCAAAATGAAAATTATACCTGAGAGAGTTATATTCAAAATAAGAACCGATTCTACGATAATGCCAATATGCAGTCCTACAATAATGACTATATATATGCATTTCATTCAGTGCTGATTGCGAAAATATTCATTAGTTGCTCGATTTGGCAACAACACAGCAATAAACCACTGCCAACTTTAGTCACACTGCCAAATCGGAACTTCTCTCTGTTTTAATGAAGTTTAAGCAGTGCATATATAAAAGTACATCAATCACTTTCTATCAAAATCACTGCTTTCAACCTTTTTGCATTTTTAGAATTAATGTGCTTTTATATAAAACTTTTACAGTAAGACCCAAGTACTAATTTTTCCAGACAAGAGGCCCACGGGCCTTATAGGTCACCTGAGCATCATGCAACAACTTTCAAATGATTGAATTTGGTTCATGTTTTAAGCTAGATGCTATTGCATTCACGATTTTGAAAGAGGCACCAATGCTAATCATAACTATACATTTAGCAATTGTTTGGTTTGTTTACTTAATACCCATAAGCAGGGTAAGGGAACAAAAATGTATGTTTCAGTAATATTCAGCGATAATCAGGAGTGCTCCTACTACACATGAACCCCTGACCCTAGGTCTACACATTGCACAATTTTTTATCAAAAATGTTTGATTTACCAAAGAGCATATTTCAAACAATTCATGTGCAAAAAAAAAAAAAAATTTGGTATCCCATAAGGGGCCTTGAAATTCACAATTCTGGAAGAAAAGCCCATCATAAATATGTAAATAGTTCATCTGCTTATTACCCAGAAGTAGAGAAAAAGATTTTCATAGATGTAATGCATTTTCACTATATAATCAATAGAGCCCCGCCCTAACACCAAAACCCCTGACTCTGGGGCAATAAAATTCACAATTTATGTAGAGACAATCTTGCTCATCATAACTATGTCCTTAATTAGTTTATTTAATACTCAGAAGCAGAGAAGAAGATTTTCAAAAATTTAATGCATTTTCACTATATAATCAATAGAGCCCCGCCCTAACACCAGAACCCCTGACCCTGGGGCCATAAAATTCAAAATTTATGTAGAGACAATCTTGCTCATCATAACTATGTCCTTAATTAGTTTATCTATATTTTCAAAGATTTAATGCATTTTCACTATATAATCAATAGAGCCCCGCCCTAACACCATAACCCCTGACCCTGGGGCAATAAAATTCACAATTTATGTAGAGACAATCTTGCTCATCATAACTATGTCCTTAATTAGTTTATTTAATACTCAGAAGCAGAGAAGAAGATTTTTAAAAATTTAATGCATTTTCACTATATAATCAATAGAGCCCCACCCTAACACCATAACCCCTGACCCTGGGGCCATAAAATTCACAATTTATGGTAGACGACACTCTTGCTCATCATAACTATGTACTTAATTAGTTTATTTAATACTCAGGAACAGAAAAGAAGATTTTCAAAGAAATAATGCATTTTCACTATATAATCAATAGAGCCCCGCCCTAACACCATAACCCTGACCCTGGGGCAATAAAATTCACAATTTACGTAGAGACACTCTTGCTCATCATAATTATGTACTAAATTAGTTTATTTAATACTCAGGAACAGAGAAGAAGATTTTCAAAGAAATAATGCATTTTCACTATATAATCAATAGAGCCCCACCCTAACACCAGAACCCCTGACCCTGGGGCCATAAAATTCACAATTTTGGTAGAGGCACTCTTGCTCATCATAACTATGTACTTAGTTGGTTTATTTAATACCCAGGACCAGAGAAGAAGATTTTAAAAGAAATAATGCATTTTCACTATATAATCAATAGAGCCCCACCCTAACACCAGAACCCCTGACCCAGGGGCCATGAATTTCACAATTTTGGTAGAGGACTCAATGCTGATTACAATCATGCCAACAGTTTGACTGCTTGATGTCCGGGAGTAAAGAAGAAGATTTTTAAAGATTGCACTAATTTTAGTGGTTTTTGCCCCACCCCCCAGGCCCCAGGGGGGCAGGGACCACGAAATTCACAATTTTTGTTCCCCTTCACCCATAGATGCTTTATGCCAAAATTGGTTGAAATTGGTTCAGCGGTTTCAGAGAAGAAGCTGAAAATGTTTAAATGTTAACGCACGACGAACGACGAACGACGAACGACGGACGACGAACGACGACGGACGAAAACGGATAGCAATAGGTCACCTGAGTTTACTCAGGTGACCTAAAAACTGATGCACTAATCAATAACAGAACATTTGCATCTTGCACTTTTGAAGATTACCATAACTGTCTGCAAGACAGCTCATCTGAAGACACCTAGTGCAGTTCATCCTAGCAGTAAACAGTCTTAGTTAAACCTTGAAGATCTCTCTCCAAGATATGTATCTAGATATTATCTAACGCCAGTGCTTTATCACCCTCACTTACTTGATAGCACACTGTTGTCAGAATTGGGGAACCCTGAAGAGGAGTTGGCATCCTCTCCCAGGACATTGTTCTGGAGGGGTGAGTCTGGCTGATGGTAGACCCCTCCTTGTTCAGGTGAGCTTACATCTCCATTGGCATACTGGTAGCCTGAGAAAGAAATTAAAAATCCTTAAAAACTTTCTATGAACATAAATAAACAACAATTAATAAATACAACAAATACTGTGTCCTCTGTATATATTGTGATTGCCCAAACACACACATTCACCAGATCACTCAAGTTTTTTGCTGAATTATTTGTCAAAAAGGGGGATTCAGAACAAAATATTGTGTAAATTATAATTACACTGTAATAATTCCTTTTTTCCTTGCAATTCTAACCCCTAACTTGGTGTTGTCTAATAAACAATGTATTTGATTGTTTTCTGTGTATGAAGTCCAAAACACATTTGTGGGTCAAATTCAGGTATCACACCAGATTTCCATAAATATCAATGTATTTAATTTTACTATGATTTAAAAAATTCATGTTTTAATTGTGTTCTTAACAATATTGCAATAAAAAAGCTCACAATGTTTAATCGTCCCCATGAATAATACAAATATTGGCATCAATTTACAATTGTTAAAATATTTGCCATCGTTCAATAATAAAACACAACATATCTCTAGTCTATTATTTTAAGTAAGTTTAGATTTCAAAAGACTGACCACAGAAAGAATATGGTTGCAGGGAATTTATTTTACGGAGTTTCAGATGAAAATACAAGTGGATGTGACAGACCTACAAAAATCCAAGATGGCGCCCGATGTGTACCTTGTTTATTATTAGATAGGGGTATATTTTTTTGTTAAAAGAAAAATAAGTAACATCAGGTGACTGCCTGTGCAAGACTGTAGCTATGCATCATGGACTTCAAAACTAGGTATTCATTTGAATATTATGTGTCCTAATGCTGTAGATTGGCAAATAATCACGATGGTTTTAATTTCGCTATGTTTGCACTTTATCAGTTTTCCATGAAATTAAACCCAACATGTATGCTATCATTAGTTTTTAAAACGTTTTAATGTTTACAAAAACTTTGAATTAATTCTTGCAGCGTTAATTTAAAACAATCGCGATTGGTACTTTTTGAGAAATCGTGAAATTTTAACACTGTGGAATTAAAACGACTTACAGTATTTTCTAAACCTGTTTTGCTTGCGATGAAATCAATGTAGAAATAACATTTTCAAAAGATTTTCAATTTTTTTTTAAATGCTAAGGCAACATTGGTAATTAGGATTCATGTCTTTGTTGAGAATAATTGTGCACCAGTGAATCAAGTCAAACTGTAGGAGGTGTGGCAATTAGAGAAATAATTTAACATTATTCTGTTCTCACTAAACCCGACAGCATTGTTTTAAAAAAAAAATTAATGTACAGAATTATAGTTTAATTAATCTTGGTTGAGAATAATTGGTGCACTAGCTTTCAGTGAATCAAGTCAAACTGTAGGAGGTATGGCAATTAGAGAAATATTTAATAAAACATTTTTTAAAAAGATTTTATCCTCCTCGTTTTCGTTTTTTGCATTTATAACAATACTAGATTTCATCACTTTTTGGCAGGTAACAATTATAAGCATTGTAATTTTTTAAAAAAAAATTTAATGTATAGAGTGCATTGTTAATAAAGATACCAACATCATGAACATGATTAATTAATAAATCTGTGTTCCAGGTGAGAAAAAATCTTTTGGTCGAAAACCATTTGAAAGCATTTTACAGAAATTAGTATTTCTAGTAAAAAATGGTTACAACTTCGCCAACATTTCAAACCAGTATGTATCTCAACATAGTCTACTTGTTGACAGCAGTACTGTGGGTGGAATAACATTCTGAAGAATTATTTACTGTTAAAGTCAAACAGATGAACGACAGACACCTCACTATCACATCTCATCTGGTCCTCTACAAGTATACTTTATTTTTTTCTGAAATGAGTGTCAGTTATGTACTGACAACTAGACATACCATTAGCTGTAATTCCACCATCCCATTGAGCAGTATCTGTCGGGCTACATTGTTTAGTGCTCAAAAACACAGAGGCATTGGGATTCAATCCTGCTGTTTTGGGGGTGACCTGTACAAAAAGAAACAAAGAAATCTAAAATATGAAGAGTTTATTTTTGTTTCCTCAAATATCAATGATAATACCACAGATATGTCAACATGATTTGGATTTCCCAAGTCTAATTCACTTTTTTTCTTCATATATATTTAAACCTCAATATCTCAATTCTTCAGATACCTTGTTTTTAGTTTCACCAAGTGCAATATAAGGAGGTTTGACTGTAAATATCATATATTGAATTTTTACCATTAGTCTTACTAGCAAAACTGAGAGAAAATTGAAATGTCTGATCAAAGTTGCTGAACTGTTGGTCTGTGTGAACTGATTTTTTCTGCCTTAACAATCCAGAATTTTTCATTATTCCCAGAAAGTTCTGTAGCAAAGAAGCTATAGCCTGTTATTTCACAATAGGATGACAGAAATGGAGGAAACATTTTAAATACATGTTTATTGAAGAAACTGGCACGATATATTCGCTTATTTGTGTGCAGGTAGGACAAAAATGGCTCCCCTCACTTCTTGATGAAAATGTTTTCCCAATTCTTGACCAAAATTGAACATTTTGCACTTGCTGATTTATTTTGAAAAGATTCAATAGAACATGTACAATATAAGGTTACTTGAAAACCTGAAATTATAACATTTTTTCCCCAAATTGTTATAATTCAATGCTTTAGATTTGTAGAACACTCTTATTAAGTTAGCAGTCTCAATGTATGTATCAAATAAGAAAAATAATATCTTGTCACATCAGTTTTTTTCATTTCCTCCATTCCACTCAATAATACCTGTCTTAAGAAACCTAAAATTGATTCCTATACATGTCAAATTGATTATTCTAAGTATTGGTAATTACAGGATACTGACACTAGTGTATTATTAGCCCAACAGAGTAATCAATCTACACTAATCCCCAGGACTCCATCCCACACAAACATCTTCCTTCTGAGAATTCCAGAGCTTTCTTTTATTAATAACAAGCCAGGACAGTAAATATATTGCACAACACCTTGTAAACTCTGTTTATCCCTTATTAAAACTCGAGGACAGTTGATGTGTATTCCTGATTCTGTTACAGCATTAGTAGTGCTTATTGACAGGGAATAACACTGTCAGAGCTGATAATCTCTCTATTAGGGGATAGTATGTGTATTGGATTTCACTAATATTGGATGAACCAGCATTTGTTGATGTCTGATCCCTTGACTGTCAGTTGAAGTCTTTGTTTACAAACAAACATGGAAATGTACAAGTATCAAGTTTCTCTTTACTTTCCATGAAATTTAACCAAGCAAGGCAGAGTGGGTTAACCAGTCAATTGGACTGAGAAAACCGAGTTAAGATAAAATCTGCCCACCCAATCTGATTCCAGTATTTCCGTTTTTGGTGACTTTCATTCAATGCTCAGCTGATTTACAACAGCTAACTCACAATGTGGAAGATGATGATGTTCAAATGGCAGATAACTAATAGCAATTAACTGCTCTATCTAAAGCTACCAAGTTTTCCAGATTTCCACAAATAACATCTTTTATTTTTCTACCCCTTCTTTTTCCCACAAAGGCTTTTAGAGGGATCAATACTTATCTATTTGAGAAACACCCCCACAAAAAAACTGAATAGACTAAAAATATGTGGTGTTTGACACGAATAAATGGAATCTAATTAAATAGTTTATATTAGGCTAATCAGACAGGTATGATCAGGCTCCTAGTTTCCTTACTTGACTAATGTATCACTAGACACACACAGGGACAGAGCTTCCTGCCTATGATGTAATTCTACAGGGGGATGACTGCCTCTGATAAGCTGTCAGCCTTTGATAATGTTCAATCAATCTATACACTATTCAAATCATTGACTACTCATACTGAAAACATTGAATGAATGGGATGATGTATTTCTCCCTTTCTTTTTCTTTAGAATTTCAAATCATCATTTTTTTTTTTTTACTATGAGGACATCTATGTTAATTATGGCTGTTCCATTCAAGTTTCTTTAAGATTAATATACATGGTATTTTTTATCTTCCAATGTCACAGAAAATCGCTAGTCAAGCTAGGAGTAACTTATGTACTGGACTGAGACTGATTTCCAAATTATGGATAGATTTTGATTGATAGGGGGGAAAACTGAAAATGAAGCTCTTTTGTGAGACCTGGGATTGGCAGGGAACAAAACTTTGTGTTGATCCTTAAATAAACAGAGGGTACAAGCTCTTCTTTAAACATCAATGTTTTCAAGGGAGCTAATTCATTTCTTGCGACTCAGTATACTTCAAAATAAATGTCGGCTCTTTTAACAGAATTAAAAAATACTCCTTACTTACATTTGAAGAACTGAATTTGTCTCATAAAATGTCTAAATTGTAAAGATCTTCACCGTTCTTTGGATTTACAGAATGTGACAGTATTTTGCAGTCTTCCCATTTTTTCAGAGCAGGTGTGTATCAACTAATTACACTAGCCAAAACAAATTTTTACATGCTAAGAATTTTATTAAGCAATTAAATTCTTATTTGTCTTTCATGCCAAGGAATACCATTTTTCCAAGGGCATTTATTGTCACACCATTGTTTCAACCAGTACATTTATTTCATATCTCAAATACCAAAGAAAGTCTTCAAGTTGGAAATCACATAATCTGACCTTACACTTTATGCTTCAATTTGAATGAATTCATCAAAATAAACTTTTTAAGTATATTCAATGTTTCTGATGTTGCTCAATTTGATATGTACATTATTTATGAATAAAAATGAAATATCTGATTCATTTTTCATTTGCATCCAAAGTTTAAGTACTGTATAATATGTTATAAATAATATGGGTTTTGATTTTTATGCCTCCAAATTTACATGCTCTTTGAACTTGTGTGAAATTTCTAGATGCCTGTCCCCAATTTTACCAGGTCCAAAGCATTGAACTACCAAGATTTGTTGGAGACTGTTTTTTTCATAATTGGGTACACCTATTCATTTTGCAGATTTTTAGAATGAATTGCTTCTCTTAATGTAAATGCAATGAAACCCCAATAAAATACCTAATTATGTCCAGAAAAAAATTACAATTCCTATAAAAAAGGAAAATTAAGGTTGAATGCAGAGACACATAGAATTATAATAACCCGTAGTGATATTTCCTTTTAATTCCTTTTACCTGAAAATCAATCGTCTTTTGTTCCAAACACAAAGCCTTATACTTGTAAAGATGGAAATAACATGAAATCAAATACCTCAGAAATCAGAATGAATGAATATACAGGGGGTTAGCGAGAGGACAGCGACTGGGAAATACTATAGACTATAATTACGAATTAGGGCCTAACACTGACTAATTGTATAATCATGTAAACAACATTTCAAGGCTCTATGCCGAATACCTGAAGCATCACATTAAACAATCTTTTTTCCCTTGTAAACATATAAACATTAACACTATTAAGAATACGTTCTGATAACAGATATTTTGTCAACAATCTGATAAGGTTTCTAACCATTTGGCAATAAGCAGTGATATTCAATATCCTTATGCTCATACATGTTTATCACCAAGATCATATGCAATTTTTTTTTGTTAATCATTTAATTAACTTATATTAAAATGTGCCGAAAAAAAATTCTGTGAAGATTTCCTAATATCTTATCAAGATTATCATTCTCCACATGCTTGTAATCTTAACATTTCTCTTATCAACATGCATGTAAGTTTGAGTGTTTCTTTTTTCTTTTTTTTTCTTTTCAAATTTAGACCATAAAAAATCCTGTGTATTTGAATACATTTTGTTCCAATGAAAAGTCACCTTTTACATAAACCCTTTATAGTAGAATTTTCAACACTAGTATCTGAAATATTTCACTTCATTTATTTTTCTTTAATTGGTTTTTGATATTCCATTCCTTGGCCAGATTTACTGCTTTATCTTTAACCAGGTTTTTTTATGCTGACTGTGTCCTGTTTCATGGGACTCCCTTACCTATCCCTTCCGTGTCCCGTTTTATGGGACTCCCTTACCTATCCCTACTGTGTCCTGTTTTATGGGACTCCCTTACCTATCCCTACTTTGTCCTGTTTTATGGACTCCCTTACCTACCCCTACAGTGTCCTGTTTTATGGGACTTCCTTACACCATCCCTACAGTGTCCTGTTTTATGGACTCCCTTACCTATCCCTACCGTGTCCTGTTTTATGGGACTTCCTTACCTATCCCTACCGTGTCCTGTTTTATGGGACTCCCTTAGCTATCCCTACCGTGTCCTGTTTTATGGGACTCCCTTACCTATCCCTACCGTGTCCTGTTTTATGGGACTCCCTTATTTTTCCCTACCGTGTCTTGTTTTATGGGACTCCCTTATTTTTCCCTACCGTGTCTTGTTTTATGGGACTCTCTTATTTTTCCCTACCGTGTCTTGTTTTATGGGACTCCCTTAGCTATCCCTACCGTGCTCTGTTTTATGGGACTCCCTTACCTATTCCTATCGTGTCCTGTTTTACGGGACTCCCTTACCTGAGGTTCAGGTGCGTCCTCCTTCTCAAGGTTCTGCTGAACACACAAGACTAAGGAATTGGAGGAATAGTAATATACATCCCCTGGAAGCATTTATTTATGTATTTATGTCCACCTGTGACAAGCACCAGCTCTAAAGGTCACACAGTTATTCCCATTATTTTTATCTTGCCGACTTCTTTTTTTTTCTCCCTTCTTTTAAATTTTCACAGAAATACTTTGTGACTGAGCAGTGTCTTTGTGGATTATGGGGTTTAAGATCCTTTCTGATTATGTAATACCACTGATAGATTTATCCATATGGAAAACATCCCAGGGCTTATTCTCATAAACACTAATAATGAACTGAATCAATTGCTAGTCATTTTCATATTAAACACACCACCATAAATTCTTTGTAATTCACAGAACTTTATCCATGCACATCAAATTTCCATATATACACTTCCTTTGAAGAAATTTCTTGAATGAAAAAATACAGTTAACCACAAAAGCGGAAAGGC